TCTTTCCTTTTCCAGCAGGTGATGAATGAATTGGGTATTAAACAATGCTTAGCTTCTGCGTACCACCCTCAAACCCAAGGTGCGCCTAGAGAGGTTCCACCAGACTTTTAAATCCATGCATAGGAAATACTGTATGGAGTCTGATAAGGATTGGGATGAAGGAGTACCACTTATGTTGTTTGCCATAAGAGAGTGTCCCCAAGATTCCCTAGGATTAAGGCCCTTTGAAATGATTTTTGGTCATGCTGTAAGAGGTCCTATGACTGTGTTGAAGGAAAGATGGATAAGTAATCAGATGAAAGTCCCTTTGTCAGTGTATGTAGAGAAGTTTAAAGAGAAACTGAAGAGAGTAGGTGAGATTGCTCGTGAAAATCTGTCAGAAGTACAGGAGAATATGAAAAAGCAATATGATGAGCATTGTCAAGCAAGAGAATTTAAGCCTGGAGAAAGGGTTTTAGCACTTATACCCCTGTATAGAAATCCCCTTCAAGCTAAATATGAGGGCCCATTCACTATAGTTAAAAATTAAATGACCTCAACTATGTCATAGCGACTCCAGATAAGAGAAAATTGGAGAGTTTGACTCATATCAATAGGTTGAAACCGTATTTTGGTAGGAGTGAAGTGGTTTGTTCAGTAATAGGAGGAGAGGAGGTGGTCCCAGACACTGATTTCCAAGTGGATATCCCCATAAAAATCTGTAATTCCAGTATATTGTGTGACCCTACCTCTAAAGTATCCCATCTTTCACAACAGCAGCCTCAGGATGTGGTGCAACTGCTGCAGAAGTTCAAGCCACTCTTCGGCGATGTGCCACGCCAGTGTTCTCTGCTGGAGCACGACCTAGTACTGCTGCCTGGCACATCTCCCATCAAGCAAGCACCCTACCGAATGAGCCCTGATAAGAGGGAGAAGCTGAAGCAGGAGGTGGAGTATCTGCTGGAACATGACCTAACTGAGAGGAGCAGTAGTGCATGGGCGTCACCCTGTGTGCTGGTGCCTAAACCCGACGGAAGTGTCCGCATGTGCACTGACTACAGGAAGGTCAACCTGGTGACACGTGCTGATGCATGTCCATTGCCGCGCATCAACGACATCATCGATAGTGTGGGTCAAGCATCATTTGTCACTAAGCTGGATCTTCTCAAAGGCCACTACCAAATCAAACTCTCGGAAGAAGCAAAGCAAATTTCAGCTTTTGTCACTTCGGAGGGGCTGTGGCAATACAAAGTTATGCCCTTCGGCCTCAAAGGAGCACCAGCAACATTTCAGCGAGCGATGCATATAGTGACGTCAGGCCTGCCTGGAGTGTACGTCTATCTAGATGATCTGGTCGTCGTTGGTGACAAATGGGTACAACACATTGGTCGACTCAGTGAACTCTTCAATCGTCTAGCAGCGTTCAACTTCACCGTAAGCCTACCCAAGAGTGAATTCGGACATGCCACCTTAATCTTTCTTGGTCATGTCATTGGACAAGGGAAAATTGCTCCAATTGATGCCAAGGTTGCTGACATTTTCAGTCTACCCGCACCTCACAATCGAAAAGCACTCAGAAGATTTCTCGGGATGGTTGGATTCTACAGGAGGTTTTGTCAAAATTTTGACAGGGTGGTCACTCCCATGACAAATTTGGTCAGCCCAAAAAGAAAGTTTGTGTGGACTGATAAATGCCAGACAGCATTCGAAAAAGTTCGTGGGTTGTTGGCGACGGCACCTGTACTGCAACTCCCAGACTTTAAGAAACAGTTTGTGATACAATCGGATGCGTGTGACACAGGAGTTGGTGCTGTGTTAATGCAAAAAGGAAAAGATGGAATATTGCACCCGAACTGTTATTTCTCGGCCAAACTGAAAAAGTATCAACGTGGATATGCCACAAGAAGAAGCATTGGCCCTTTTGTTAGCTCTGGAAAAGTTTGAGGTGATATTTTATACAGATCATAATCCACTTCAATTTGTTCATAATATGAGAAATAAGAATCAAAGACTGTTACGGTGGTCATTAGCTCTTCAACCCTATAATTCAGAAATCAAACACATAAAGGGCTGTGATAATATTATTGCCAACACTCTATCTCGTGTTGAGTAAAAGTTTATTCAGAGCTTCTTAAACTTTTAAATTAAGGGGGGAGATGTTACGGGTGAGCGTTCCATCGTTGGTTGTGGATACGCAACATGAACTTTTGTTTGTGACGTCATTTCTGCCCGCGTCCGCTCGCTTTGTTTACCGCCAGTGTGGGCTCGGCAGTGTTAAGTACAGAGTATCTCCTTTCTTATCGTACAGTATGTTTCTAGTGGTATAACGTGTAAACCTTGCTCGACTTTTATAACACCAAGTAAAGTATTATTTGTGAAAGATTATTTTTAATTATATTTTAGAGTTCCACGGAAAATAACTTACTTATTTATGAGGTTTCGTGTGGTGGATAGACCACGTTGTTCATCGTAGTTTCTAGACTAAATAAGTCTTTACTTTTATGTTCATTATTTTGTCACTCGGTTGAGTCATTATTTGATCAGATTTAATTTGTATTTGTTTATTTGTGTACATACTGATATATTATTTTTATTGTTTGTTGGTTAATATACTCTGTAATTAAAACTACTGCATGTATTTCAGTATACCCCATAGTAATGAGGTGATGATTTTGGTGAGATCTATTCTTTGGACCTACAATATAAAGAGAAGTTGAATTTGTAATTTTGTTACACCCTAAGCGGCCAAGGGTCGTAACACAGTTCCTGTTCAACATCACATGTTCAATTGATTTGTGTCTTTTGTTTGTGAAGTGTTTTTTGAGAGGTACTCTGTAAATTTCGTTTTTTCTTTTCTTTTTTATGCAAATTTCACTGTTACCCATAAATACTGTATGAAAAGAATAAGTAAAAAGAATGTTTTGCAGTGAGGACTAATAACGGTTTATACCAGCGCTCTCTGTTTACATCATGTGATTGGTTGAATCGTGCGGTTTCGGTCGATTGCTCCATGATTTTTGCTGTTTTCTCCAATTTTGTTGTGTTAGCGATGAATATGGAAAGACAAGGTAAGAAGAATGTTTCCAAGAAGCGTTCTGGTGATCGAATTGCCGGTAGTGAACGTAAAAGAGGTTTACAAGAACGCAACTCTCGCGTTGTAGCCTGCGCCATCCTAGCAACCGCCCGGGCTGCTATTGTGTGCTTTTTTGGGTGGTGCTTCCACCTGTCAAGTCAAAATAATGGCCTCTACCTCTACTGGGGGTCCTACTGGTGCTGGTGGCTGTGGGACAGACCCACCTAAGCGGCCAAATAAGGAAAAGGAGAAACAGGACTATCATAAGGGAGTTAAGTTTGCCAAGTATTCGATGCAGGATAAGCAGAGTGTGATTAAGTAACTTGAGGAAGGCCTAAAAACTAGTTTTCGGAAAGCACAATCAGGTCAATAAAGGCAGAATTTGTATCATTTGGAGGTTAAAATGGGAAAATCAGAGGTTTATGTAGAGTGGCCAGTCTATATTGTTATTTTTCCCATTAGTTTGCATTTAGCGAATTTGAATTTGGCAAAATTTTTCCAGTCTATATTACTCACGAAATACAAGATCTTACTGTATTATGTTTCTGCATATACCCTGGTTTATTCATTAATCATTTGTCTAAGTACAAGCAGCCAAACTGAGTCATCATATAACACTCAAAGGTAGTAAATAACTTTTTTAAAAAGGTATATCAAACACTATACAGTGTGTTATAGTGACCCCGGTTGTAAGCTGGTCTACTGAAAGCTCACACGAACGCTGAGTAAACAACCTTTTGATTCAGCTTATCCTTTTATTTTCAAGTCATATTATAAATTACATACAGTATTTTATTTTTCTTTATTACTGAAGATGTTATATTAATCTTGATTAAATTTCATAAGAGGCCAATCATATGAGAATATAATACTGAATCAATAAATAAATAAACCTGAAGATGCGGCAACACCTGATCAGCCCCAGCCTGCTTACATACTCAAGTGTCTTAGTTCTCAGTAGGCCAATGTGATTAGACAACTGTATAGTACTCAGTGAGTGTTGTTCATTTCATACAATTTGTTTTATTTAATCTTTCTCATTTGTTATCTTTTTATTATATTTTATTCTTTTAGTACTTATGGTGACCAGAGCACCTCAGTCTGAAAAAAGCGAATTCCAATATATTGAAGTCCGATTTATCGAGGTTTTACTGTGTGTGTATATATATATATATATATATATATATATATATATATATATATATATATATATATATATATATATATATATATATATATATATATATATATATATATATATATATATATATATATATATATATATATATATATATATATATATATATATATATATATATATATATATATATATATATATATATATATATATATATATATATATATATATATATATATATATATATATATATATATATATATATATATATATATATATATATATATATATATATATATATATATATATATAAAATATCTCAGTTGTTAGCCGGAATCTCAAACCCGGAACTTTCCGATAGCCAGAATTGAAATTTTCTTGGAAAATTATTCCCAAAACTGGAATTTTCTGGAAAATTCCAGCTTTGGGAAACAATTTTCCTTGAGGCACATTTTCTGGAAATTTTAAGAAAATTTTCCAGATGTGTACGGTACCTGGAAAATTTCAGTGATGGGGGATAATTTTCCCTGGTTCGAGAGATGATGTACAGTAATGGGCAATTTCTGGAACTTCCAAGAGCATTTTTCCTTTAACTGGAAAATTCCAGGGATGAGGGATTTTTTTTCCAGCTTTGAGAGATGTTATCCACAATTTCTGGAACTTCCGAGAACATTTTTCCGTTTCCCAGTAGTGCTCTGCACCAATTGTTCCAGCTATCAGGGATATCACTTGTATATAAAGAAATTACTCAAAAGTTAGAATTATCCCTAACCCCCCACATACACACAAACATACAAAATATTGACGTACTTATCCCCAAAAGCTACATCAAAGCTTTCTATTCTGATGTCTTTTGTGTTGCAACCCCCTTTGGCATCGAGAGCTCGGTCCTTTTTGCTTACAACCTGAAATAAAATTACAAACAATGGTTACTTGTGTCATCAATACATACTCCTCTGGCTTTAAAATTAAAGGAAAACTAATGTGTATTGTACTTCAATACTGTGTCCTTGAATATTTTATGCTTGCAATGTTAATAAGAAACCTACCTGGGATGCTGTTGCCATATCCATTATAATAGCTGGCTGAGTGTCTTTCTTATCTGTGTTTGTTCTTTTTTCTTTCTTTTCCTTCAGTTTTGCTTCTGCTTTGTCAAGTTTTCTTTGGTCTACTTTCTGGGGAAGAAATAATGACAAGTTTACAATAATTGTGCAGGTATAACACAGCATTGTACTGTATAATGGCTCCCTATGTGCCACTCTACTGTGTAAGGTTTATATTTTCCAGATGACTACAATCTGTTCATACTGCCATAGTACCAATAATCAAGTTGTCATAACACTGCTGAAATAAATAACACTGGCCATAAAACCTTTTATTGTAATCACCAAATTTGTGAACATAAAGGATTCCTGTGATTAAATACACAGCTTGAAATTATAACAGGTATGATGACCCACCTTTACAGGATACAGTACCAGCCAGTAAGGAACACAAAGAGATGTGGATCACTTCAATCCTGAAGCACCAACCCAGTACAATACAGTATACAGAACTGTGTAACCTATCACTACATTGTATACTGTACATGGTAAGCAGCAATTTTGATTTATTTACAAAAAATTGGACTACTTGCAGAATTAATACCTTACAACAACCTTCTGTGACTATCAAGGGCATAGATCATGGGAGACATACCACCCCTCTTTTGTAAAAGGAGGAATAACACATAATTTGATACTTCCACTTGTAAGCATTTACCAATGTTGAAGTGAGGGCTAGTCACCCAGTGTTGAAGTGAGGGCTTGTCATTCTTTGTTTAAGTGAGAACTTGTCATCCAGTGTTGAAATGCAATTTTAGAATGTGGATCCCTCTCATTGGAAGGCTTGCCATCACATCTATTGGACAAACTAAAATCGTTCCGGACCATGGGAGTTTCCGGACCACAGAATGCCGGACTGGAGAGGTACGACCTGTATTCATGTAAATCATGTGATAACAAGGGCTTACTATACAGCACACCACTTGTTACTCCCAACACTCTCCTGGAGTGCTATCCTAGGTTAAAGGACTTCAAGTTACACAAATGGTTTGGCCCTATTGTGGGTATAACATGTTTGAAGGTCACAATTTAGCCAGATGAATGCCCAGCCCACATATACAACATTGCCCTTGTTGATTTGATCCCATGTATGGACACATTAGCCTGAATTACATTAGGTTAATAACAAATTTATTTGATATTTGTAAAACTATTAAAAAAAGGATGCATCCTTTCCAATAATGAAAAATAGTGACAGCTGTGTGAATTAGTCTAAAATTCTCCACAAGTGCTAAAACCAGAGATGAAAGAGAAGTTACTATTGAAGGGCTATCCAAACAGCATGGCTTTGAGCTGGATCTAAGGAGTCAAGCCTGGAATCACCACTTATGGTCAATGCATCTGACAAGTGAAGTTCACATACCGTATATCACGGCCTATAAGGCGGCGGGGTGCATAAGACGCCCCCCCCAAATTTCCACTTAAAAAGTAGCTTTTGAGCTCTATTTGCTGTATAAGACCAGTACCCCAAATGTGACACTTACCCACTGACTCAGTAGTCCTTTACCAACCATCCTTGATTTTTTAAAATAAGGCCAATTCACTTCAAGTAATGTCATCAAATTATACCCGCTGGTGTAGTGTAAACACTAGTGACGTCACTGAAGCGTGGTGGGAGTGTTCCCTCGTCTCGGTGGTGTGGTGTTCCGACTATTTATACAACATGTGGTTCAACAGCAACCACCGTATTCTAATTGTGGTGTTTCATTAGGATTTGAGTGAAAAAGGTTACCAGTATGTACTTACTACATACATTTATTACACAAATATATATATATATATATATATATATATATATATATATATATATATATATATATATATATATATATATATATATATATATATATATATATATATATATATATATATATATATATATATATATATATATATATATATATATATATATATATATATATATATATATATATATATACTGAATATACTATGTAAAAAAAATGAATGTTCAATGAATTATTTATGGTGCATTAGGGTACTGGCCACTTCAGATGGGCTATAAATAGCCGTTATCTCCCCTCCATCTCACCCTGAGGCAGACGGAAGCGTCTTGGTAAATAACATGTTTGCTTATTTTCCATTTACTTTAAATAGATTTACCGAATTATTTGTTTTATTTATTTATAATATACTGTAATATATTAAACACACTGTAATTATTTTCTTTAATTTATAAACTGTTTTGCGACAAAGGAATGTTCTCCAGTAGTGTTTCATTAGGATTTGAGTGAAAAAATATTACGTACTTACACAATTGTTCCTCTTACTTTGACAACACAACATACATACAGTATATTATTTCTCAGTTTTGATCTTTTTTTTTAATTTTTGTATTTATTTATAGTTAGTTACTTAAAATAAGGCCAATTCACTTCAAGTAATGGCATCAAATATTACCAGCTGGTGTAGTGTAAACACTAGTGACGTCACTTGAGCGTCTGTAATTAACCGTCGATAGTTTCAAGAATTAATGCACTCATTTACTGAATATTCTTTGGAAAAAAATAAAATTTAAATCAATTATTTATAGGAGATAAATATTATTATGAGTAAATATACCGATACCGGTATGCATTACTGACCACCTCCACGGCTAAAAATAGCCCAATCTCGCGGTCACTTTCCCTTTCTTGTCTCCTCACTGGCAAATGGGGTGGGGGGGCGTGGGGAGGGGTGTGTGATGATAGCTGTGTTTATTACAGGGGTATAAATCTCTTTTACGGTATGTTAGACAGGTTTATAATACATTTTTATTATTTTAATATACCGGTAATCTTAATTTGAATCCAGCTTGCCAAACGTAAGTTTCAGTATAAAATAATTAGTGGTAAGACCTTGTGAGTGGCTTACGATGTTTTCATCACTCTTGACACACTAAACCACAATATTTAAGAGGTAAGAATTTTAAACTTGGTGGTTTAGACGACCCCCTAACTTTGGGCAGATTTTTTTAATGTTCAAATTTCGTCTTATAGGCCGTGATATACGGTATGCTGATATAACATCAAAATTCATTGCCAACTAACTCAAATGATGACTGTTGTTTTTAAAAATGCCACTTCATACAAATGGCTCTTACATGAAGGCATAACTAATTAATACATCAGTCCCAGCCTTTAATATAAGAGTTTATGTGGGATTTATCCCTGGTACCTTGCATACTGAAACTTGAGTCACTGAAGGAGAGTGTTTGCTCTTAAAAACATGATATTCAACACAAATAAGTGCAATTCAATTTCACCTAAATAAACATAACTCAGTACTTACTAGTCCATCATCTCTTTCCCTAGACCAAACAGATTTAATAACTTGATCTTCTAATTCCATGCTGGCTGCCATCTCTGCTAACTGGACAGGTGCATCAAGAATCTTCCGTTCTATGGTTCCATTGGGAGTTGTAAGTTTTGCCATCACTTCTTCACACAGTTTCCTGCAACCATTATGATGATGAAATTCAAATAAGTTAAGCCACAGGTACAAGCCAAGGGTTCTGTCAGGACTTATCACTACATGGTCATAATCAGGACTTATCACTACATGGTCATAATCAGGACTTATCACTACATGGTCATAATCAGGACTTATCACTACATGGTCATAATCAGGACTTATCACTACATGGTCATAATCAGGACTTATCACTACATGGTCATAATCAGGACTTATCACTACATGGTCATAATCAGGACTTATCACTACATGGTCATAATCAGGACTTATCACTACATGGTCATAATCAGGACTTATCACTACATGGTCATAATCAGGACTTATCACTACATGGTCATAATCAGGACTTATCACTACATGGTCATAATCAGGACTTATCACTACATGGTCATAATCAGGACTTATCACTACATGGTCATAATCAGGACTTATCACTACATGGTCATAATCAGGACTTATCACTACATGGTCATAATTAATCATCTAATACAGTAGCAATATTATTCCTGAGCATATCACATATCTTCAAACCCTTTTACTTATTTCCATTTACAGTAAAGGTAATGACTGTTAAACGATGGATCTATTTAAGATTGATCTGTGTTATGATATTAAAATATTAAAACCGTTTACCGCTATGCGTTGGCTATGATCAGTTTTACGATGGTCACGACCCGAATGCTTTTCCTGCATTGTCAGTGCTATGGTAAAGTTATGTGCAATAACTGGTGAATATTTCGAGATATAGTAACGCATTTTTTTGCTCATTCTCTATGAACAACTGTGTGTGCATATAATAGAGCAAAAATTTTGAAGAAAATTTCATATATCTACAGTACCCAAAATTGTGAGTTGAAAAATTAAATTAAATTAAATTAAATTAAATTCAACTAATGCTGCTCACAGCATTGCATAGTAGGGGAGGCTGAGATCCCGATGCTGCACCCCCTCCCGCTTCCCCCTTCCCTTCCCCTCCCAAGATCCACATTACTCCCACAAACTTAATAAATTTTTATTCTCTATGTTTTTTACCTCACTATAATCATCTTTTATTTTTCCTTGCACATTCTGTATGAAAAATTGTGTGTGCATGTAATAGTAAAAAAAAAAAGGGGAAGGGGGAAACAATTATGTATGTCTGCCCCCCCTGCTGTGATAAATCCAGCACATGTACAAAATGTTTATTCCCTTTATGTTTTTGACCTCATAATTATTTTTTATGCACATTCTGTATGAAGATTGTTGTGCATGTAACAGTTATAGAAAATGAAGAAATTACATATTTCTACCCGAAATTACTTGTACAGGTCGTACCTCTCTAGTTCAGCATTCTGTGGTCCGGAAACTCCCGTGGTTCAGAACAATTTTAGTTTGTCCAATAAAAGAAAGGCAGCTTTTTTTTTTTTCTGCATCATTATTATTATTATTATTATTATCATTATTATTATTATTATTATTATTATTACAGGAGTATTAAATTTTTGCCCCTCAGGCCCCAATGTGGGTGATTTTATCAAGATATATATATACAGTATTACCCCGCCTAAAGCGGTTTCACTTAACGCGTTTTATCATATACGCGGTGCCTCGCCAGAGCTGAACTTTCACTTAACGCGGAATTTTTCATCATATACGCGGGAAGCGGCGCGGGCACGATGCGCACAAGGTCGCCCAGTCATCAAAACATTACCGAGTTCTTCACCCGCCACCCACCACAGCCGGCCCAAGTCAGTGATAGTGATAATTATAGTGAGGATATGGACTTATATGGCCTTTGAGGGGTTTGACAAAGATGCCCTGCAAGCCTCTGTGGTGGATAGTGATACAATTGATACAAGTGATACAGGTGAGGGCCAATAATCTGCCCTCTGCCTCGGAACCAACCCCCCATCCCCGTGTGCCCAGCCATCTTTTCTACTAATGCAAGTGTTAAAAAACCTAATATTATTGATATTTCTCTTAATTATTAATTGTGTGTGCATACCATCATAAAGTTAAGATAAAATTTTTACTACAACATAGTTGTGTGTCGTCAAAAAGTGGAATTTGGGGGTCGGGCCAGTCTCTATTGGAATTAATCCCATATGTTCTGTTGTTCACTTAACGCGGTTTTCACTTAACGCGGTACCCTGTGGGTTCAATTGACCGCGTTAAGCGGGGTACTACTGTATATATACTGTATACAGTGGGGTATGCTATAACGAACGGATCCTACTACGAATATTCCTATAATGAACGGTTTTACCTATAAAATTGAGATTGCTATAACGAACGAAACTCCTCCAACGAACATTATTTAGAAAAAAAAAATTCTTTTTTTTTTTTTTTTACTAATTTATTGTTTTTTTATTACAAGTATTAATGATGTTCTTTATTTCAGGGGTTTAGATGCTTATTTATGCACTTTTTTACAATTTTTACAATTTCATATTATATTTTTCAGTGTTAAGTGGTTGTATTTGGGGGCCTGGAACGAATTAATCCTATAACGAACGAATGCTATAACGAACAAGGTTCTAGAACCAATTAGATTCGTTATAGCATACCCCACTGTATATATATACATATATATATATATATATATATATATATATATATATATATATATATATATATATATATATATATATATATATATATATATATATATATATATATATATATATATATATATATATATATATATATATATATATATATACCAAGGAAGAAAAACACGAAGTTCTAGCTTAGTGTAATTCACATCTTCAGATGTGAATTACAGCACTTTCAAACTGTTTTGATTATCAACATATACTAGATCATGACGCACCTACAGTGATTTACTAGCATATATATATATATATATATATATATATATTTGTATATATTTTTATGTATGTATATATATATATATATGTTTTTTTTTATTTTTTTTTTTTTTTTGTTCTGTATACTGTCCATAATAACTGCAGTACAGTATACTGTACTCCATACATACTGTACAGTACATGTGCTGTACTATAATACATACTGTACAGTACAGTATGTATTGCTTTATTATACATGCTGTACAATACATCTATACTGTGCCTATATATATATATATATATATATATATATATATATATATATATATATATATATATATATATATATATAATATATATATATATATATATATATATATATATATATATATATATATATATATATATATATATATATATATATATATATATACCTGTATATATATTTCATTAGCCCATAAAAGCGCTCGGACTTCTACATATAATCAACATCCTCCGTCAGGACTCAAACCCAAGATCTTATGTGTGTGACTGGGGAACGTTATCTATAGACCACTAGGACACTAAAAGCAGTCATAGACTTTGTTATATTTCACACAAAGCCTGTTCATCGAGCTTATGGCACCGTGAAGCTTATATTTTTACCCAATTTCTTCTTTCAACACAGCCCCACTATGTTATGCATACCTTATCTCTGCATCTTTTTCTATTCCAACAGCATCTGCTAAGAGACCACCAATTGCTTCATAAACATCATCACTAGTTTCAAAGTCCTCTGTACTTGTGAGCACACCTGTAAGAAAAAAGTAAAATTGAGCACTAAAATTTAACTCTCTAAGTTAAATTTATTCTTCATAAAACAGTGATTATGATGATGAATCACTACAACATGAGAACATGGTACTGAGAGATTTATGGGGTTGTTATTGCAGTATGAGTGAATGGATGACAACTAATTAGGAGAGCTTTTACCTGCTTATTTTATTTCCTGAGAAAGAAAAAGCACAAGAACAGGTCAAACAAGAGTTGTAGTCATACAGGCATGTATTCACAAAGACATACCCTTGTCAAAGACTAAATAACGTTGAAAAATGATGTTTTAAATTAATGGAGGTTATATGATATTGAAAACTACTATGACATGGAGTTTTACAGACTGGAAATTCAACAAAAAAGACATGGGCTCTCCTAGGTGTCCGCATAGACAGATGGAGCATGTGGTAATGGTACTACTGTATACCAGTTCCACAGCTGGTATATTCACCAAAATACTGTGAGCAAAAGACAAGTGCAGTACAGTACTGTACAGTATAGTCTGGATTTCTCAGAGAGGGAGGAGCCAGCAAGCATGGGAAGAGGGGAGTTGAGTCCATTATTTGAATGGACATTAACTGGCAACTGTATTTCTCTTAAATATTAATTGAGTGTGCATACCATCATAAAATTAAGATGTTATTTTTACTACAACGTACGTATTGTCGGAAAAAAAGGAGTTTTGGGGTCGGCCTAGTCTCTATTTCAATTAATCCCATATGTTCTGTTATTTCATTTACGCGTTTCTCGTTTTACGCGGACCTTCACGGGTTCAATTGACCGCATAAATGCAGACTCTACTGTACACAGAAAAATAATACAATAACAGTGTTAAAAGCTAAGTAAGTACTAGTTATCTAAAAGTGTCCAAGAGTAATGCAGGAAATAAATAAGGTACAGTACTGCACTGCCATTCAGTACAGTACAATACAGTACTCCCAAAAAGTAACCAAACAGCCAGCAGCAAAGGATATATATACAAAAACTCCTCTTCTTGTGGATGAGTTCGGTACGTTCCTGAAGCTTGTTCCTAAGTCCAACTTTACACTTATAGATGTTGAATATATTGTAAAAAATAAACGATATACAGTACAGCTATACTGTACCCCAATAATACATACTGTACAGTACAGCTATACTGTACCCCAATAATACATACTGTACAGTACAGCTATACTGCACCCCAATAATACATACTGTACAGTACAGCTATACTGTACCCCAATAATACATACTGTACAGTACAGCTATACTGTACCCCAATAATAAATACTGTACAGTACAGCTATACTGTACCCCAATAATAAATACAGTACAGTACAGCTATACTGTACCCCAATAATACATACTGTACAGTACAGCTATACTGTACCCCAATAATACATACTGTACAGTACAGCTATACTGTACCCCAATAATACATACTGTACAGTACAGCTATACTGTACCCCAATAATAAATACAGTACAGTACAGCTATACTGTACCCCAATAATACATACTGTACAGTACAGCTATACTGTACCCCAATAATAAATACAGTACAGTACAGCTATACTGTACCCCAATAATATACTGTACAGTACAGCTATACTGTACCCCAATAATAAATACAACAAGCGAGTTAGAATCGTGAAACATTAATACAGTAATTTAGTTTAAGTATGTAACCACGTCTTCCTTCACCCGCGGTCAAATACCATAATACGTTGTACATATTATCATGAAGATTTGCTTTACAGTTAAAAGTATGTCTCTGAATATGTATTGCCATTGCTATAGCACCAATTGTATTTACCCTCGACATATTGGAAGATCTCTTCGTCTATATCGGGGAACTTGTCCCTGACCAGTTGACTGGGGACTGCCATGTTTACACTGCCAGGGAGGCCACAACACCCACCACTCTTTGTTAACATTAATGCTCTACAACTATATCTTTCTCTTACCGCACACTTAATAATGATAAACCATCATTATTTACTAAAATTGTATACTTTTTAATATATTGATAAGAAGATGGAAAAAATATAACAATGTTATCATAATTCACAGTTTGTTGACATTCAATAATAAATTGATGGAGATATTGCTGTTAATTACTGACTTGGGTTATTAAGGTTTACTCTGAGTGTCTATAGGTGCGTGTGTACATGTGCGTGCTTGGTACTCCCATAGTGTGTGCGACCGTGTGTATGTCAAGTGTTAAACCCATTTCCAAACTCTCACCCTCACTTCCCATCCCCGCACCCCAAAAGAACCTTTCGAAGCACTACAACCATATTTTCCTTATACTTTAAGATATTGTAATTATTTCGGATTCTTGTTACCCACAGAAGAATTATAGGATCACCTGAAGAATCTGCACCCCAGCTTAATTCACCTTAAGATTAAATACCCTAACACTAACCTAACTTCATCCCCTAAATAGTGTAAGGGCGATTTATCTTTATTTTCTTCTTTCTTTCTTTTATCCTCTTCACCACTGATCGCCTCGTTAGTCGCTTGGGCGATAGATCACGTCTCTGATACTTTTCCTTTTATTTTATCCTCTTCACCAAATGATCGGCTCGTTAGCCGTTTGGGAGATCTGTCACGTCTATGTTGGCGAGTACTGGGCATGCACCGGCTCCTGAATGTACCTGAACCCGCTCCAGTGTTGGTCAAGTCTTCTCTTGAAAGAGCTCACACTCGGTGCTGTCACAACACTCTCTGGTAGATTGTTCCAAGAGTTCACAACTCTCACTCCGAAAAAGTTTGTCCTCACAGTTTTCTGGACTTGCGGCTTCTTCAATCTTGAGCTGTGACCCCTTGTGGGGCGAGCGTCCGCCAGATCCAAGTAAGGACACTCAACTGAGTAGTGCCCCTTGAGATGCTAATACACCTCAATTAGGTCCCCCCTTGCCCGTCTGTAGTATAAGCTAGGCAAGTTCAGGCACTCCAATCTCTCAGCTGTTCAATGCCTCAGCTTTATCCTGGTCAGAATCTGCATAACTACCATCTTCAAGCCTCAGGTCTGATACTCCTACTCGCATTTTCAATTTCAACTTTGCATAGCGGTAAAACGCCTTTGGGTTTGACTTGACCTCGCTTGCAACCAGCCTCTGGAACTCCTTTTCAGCCCTTCTACACTCTATCTTTGCTTAGTTTCTGGCTCTTGCATATATCCTCCTGTCCTGCTCATTGTTTGACCCAACCCACCAGGGGCGATTCTACGGGTGGGGCCAGGGGGGGCCATGCCCCCCCCCCCCAGATTTTGGGCTGGCCCCTGGGTTGCCCCCCCCCTCCCCCAGATTTTGGGCTGGCCCCTGGATTGCCCCCCCCCCACTTTTTATTCTCAAAATTGTAATTCCAAAAACATTCCCAAAACCAGGAAGTGAGTCAAGTGACTCAGGCAGTGGGAGCGCCGCACGCTAGATGCAGGCATGGGTGAGGTGAGGTGGGGCCCGGAGGGTAGGAATTGGGAGGGTGCAGATATGCGGGGTGGGGTCACATTATGTGACCCCACATCACTTTGTAACGACCACGGTCATACACGTCAGTTAACGCCAAAATCAAACGATTCATATTACGTTCAATAGCCCACAAAACATGTACCTCTGCTTTTATTTTGAGTCCTCCATCTGCTGAGTCCGTTTTCCCATCACTTCAAGACACCTCAGTCCTCCGTTATCCCATTTTCTCTGACTTACTGAAACCAACGTCTCTATAAAATGAATTTGAATGTGAGAGAGAACACCCTTGTTTGGAGTCTACTTAGATATGTCTGTTTACAGTTGGAACAGTCAAGATCCATTGTGAGTGTTGTTGAGCGCTTCAACTGTCTTTAGTGCTAGTAAGACGTGTCAAATAAGTGAGTGTCGAGTTTGCCAGTTAGAGTGGCGTATTTTATGTCGTCCGTGGGGATACCCATGAGTCTCTGATCGCTACTGAAGTTATATTATTTTGTCGCCCCGACATCAGAGAATCTGATGTTTATAGTTTAGTTAGTGTCAGTTGTTTATTTAAGAAAGTCATTCATCTTCTGAACAGTTCCTGTCAAACTCAAAATTCTCCCAGATTTAACGGCCATTTGACCTGGGATGTGTTTGCGGTCAGGTCAATAGAGTTGCGAACTCATATATAACTCCATTTCATCTCTTTCCTGACAAACTCAATCTCTGATTAAATCATAAATATAGATGTAGAAAATTAGCCTGATCTGTGACACTGACGGTCCAACGACTACTGTGAATAGAGGGTCTATTGTTAGTGTTAGTAGTAGGTACATGCCTCAGGCCCGTGTATACTGTATGCCGGCGCGCGAGGTAATACCACTTCCTCTGATATTTCTCCTTCACGTCTCCAGGTATGTTCACGTGTGTTCCACCCCGCCATATTAATTCAGTTTAACTTAGTCAATTTTGTTAATATCAGTGTTCATGTTTTAACGTGGTAACTTCTGTGCCAAGTAAAGTAGAGCTCTAGCTGGACCGGTGCCAGACGTATGTTTTGTACAGTATAGTGAAGTTAAATATTCACTCCCTCTGTGATATCTCCACGTCTCCAGACCCTGTTGTGGGGGTTAGCAACACTCCTCAAGTCCGGGAGCCGCCTATGGGCACCATGTCTCTCGAAGGATGTCTTTAATGTGGTGAGACTCCTTGACAGACCGCCACGAGTCAACCTCCCCGGGCCAGGGCTGATCACTCCAGGGTTGGCTCGGTCTGTCAATGGTCTTGTTTCCGTACTATTGCAGTTGTGTGTACAATACTTCTAAAATTCACCGACTATACCAATATCGAGTCAAGTTTGCTGCACAAATAGTATGTCATTGTGTTATAGTGTTACTGCTACTCACAGAATAATTGTGTTATTGTCCTGCTGGTCTTAAGTGAAGTGTACTGTACTCTACGTCATATTCTCTGTCTTTACTCTGTTGGGTTAATATTTACAAGTTGCCAACACCTACATATATATTGAGTCTTAAATGGGGAAAAAGAAAGAACAAACTAAAAACATAGTGGATGTATTGCTGTAAGAGCTAAGTTCCTACTAACGCTATTTTACCGTGTGTGTGCTTTGATTGGCTAAGTACTTCCTGTTTAATGTGACGGGTGGGTCTGCCCCCCAGGAAGTTAGGTAAGTTTGTTTGGTTGGTTAGATTCTATAGTAAATGTTGCCTTTTTTATAATCTATGGAAAAAATGAACAAAATCAAACTACTCCTCCTGGTTAGCTACTGTACACAACGATCGACTCGCGGCAAAATAAATTCCAAATGCCATCAGTTGCGGTCAAATACAGTTCTTGGTTGTTGGATGAGTAGCCAATCAGAGCGCACTCACAGTAAAATATCATTAGGAGGAACTTAGCCAGTTACAGCAAAATATCCACTGCCAACTAAAAATAATTTATCCTATAATGTTTCCGTAAAAAATGTAGGTAAATATTTAGTTACCAATACCTTATATACTGAGTGTTATATAGGGAGAAAGAAAAAAAAAAGGCACTCACGGTAACATAGTATTAGTAGGAACATAGCCGGTCACGGCAAAATATCCACTGCCATAAAATTACCAACAATATTACTTGTTCAATGTGGGCAGGGTTTTGAAGTAGAGGGAAAATGTTGGGTAAAGTACAAAAAAAAAAGCCCCCCCCCCAAAAAAAAAACCACTAAGCAATCTTTTGAGAACCTTATCTAACGTTGGTGATTATTCGGATCATGACTGTCTGCTGCTTTTCATTGAAAATGGGTTTAAAAATACTTAGTTTTCACTGATTTTATTAGAGGGTACTGCATTATTTTGGAAAATATATAAGCATTTACCAAAGAAAATGAGTAGAAGTGAAAGTAATTAGGGTACCAAACCGTTGTCTAAAAACATTCTCATAATTACTGAACCGCTAACAGCCACATCTTGTATATTAGCCCTCACGGTATATTGTTTAAATCCGTTACATCACAACTGATGATGCGACTGTAAGAGTGCTAAATTACCTCCCCTATATCTAGAAAACTATTCATTTTCTCAAGAAAATGAATAGAAGTGAAAGTAATTAGCATACAAAACTGTCTAAAAACACCTTCCAAGGTAGGATATAGGTTAGGTTTTGGTAGGATTGGTTAGGTTAGCACATAATTTCAGCCATTTTTATAATTTATATTTTTCCCAACATAATACAGTATCCACTAATAAAATAATTGATAAATGGGTATTTTTAAGACCATTTTCAATGAAAAACAGCGGACGGTCACGAGCCAAATAAATTACCTTATTTTCTCGTTATATTTTCATCAGCAAGTTCTGATACAACAATCATTTCTTTGGAAACTGATTTGTTTGGTAGATTATTAGCCCCCTAGGTGCGCTCTACTTTGTCATCTCGGCGGTGATGTCATATTGACACGCACCAATCGACACCAGTGTACAGTAATGAGACCGTGTTGCTCTCACATCTATAAAAAATTAAAATTACACCATATCATAGTATAGTAAGTTCTTTCTGCTTAATATGTCGGGGGCAGTCTTCTAACAACACTTCTGCTGCTTGTTTTTCTTATCAACTAAGGTTAGGTTAAGGTTAATTTAGAAATAACCACTTTTTAACACCTTTGTCAAAACTATAACTATTCATTGTAAAACATAGTGAAATTGCAGCATTTTTAAAACCTTTTTTAGGAAAAAATGGAGGCGAGTCAGTCATCAATAATTACTGTTTTTGGTGTTTAGTATGTGATGGTGGTGTCTTTGGTGCTCAGGTGAGGAGGGATCCATAAACTCAAAAGCAATTCTTAGCATTTTGACAAGTAAGGAAAGGTTAGGTAAGGTTTTCAAAGGTTTGTTTGGTGTTGTTCTTATTTTACCCGACATTTTCCTTCCACACTACAGTACTTCAAAGCCCAGCTCACTTTGAACAACTAATATTGTTGGTAATTTTATCGGTTAAAATACTGTACTGTATTAGAAAAAAATAAAATTTCTGATGGAAATGCTAAAGAATAGATTACAGTACACTAGGCAACAAATTAAAAAAGTAAATAAAATTCTGTAACATGGTTCAGAGCAGCTTCCTTTTGGTAATTTTGAGTGCTGATTTCAAATCTGGCAATAAAAATTCTCTGGCACGTACATTTTATTTGCTATACAAAAAAATAAATCTTATAAATACAAAATCTGTTTGGGCATTTGTTATTTTATTTCTTCCTTTTATGTGTTGTATTGTCCTCCGATTGTAAACACCAGCAATAGTCCCCCATCATGGCAGGATCCCCTCTACTCTGGTACCTTTCCTCCATACGTCTAATGTCCTGATGAAATCACTTTCCCTGTTCATCACTAACCGCAGATTCTCAGGAAAAAGGTCTGAGTGTGCGTGAAGGAGATGGACTTTCAGGGACATCCTGCATCCTAAATTTTTTTAATTTTTTAAGAGTTCCTTTACAAGTTGGCAATAGTTTTCTTTCTTATTGTTTTCAAGAAACCCCTTGACTACAGATGTGAAGGATTTCCATGCAGTTAGCTCATTTTCATTCAGTTTGTTTTCAAAGTCATCACGAAGTAACTTTCTTATCTGTGGGCCAACAAAGATACCCTCTTTGACTTTAGCATCACTGAGCTGTGGGAATTTTTCCCTCAAGTACATGAACCTATCACCTTGTTTGTCCATAGCCTTCACAAAATTCTTCATTAGTCCCAGCTTGATGTGTAAAAAAGGTAAAAGTACATCGTTTGGGTCTACCAAGGGAGTATATTTAACGTTACACTTTCCTGGAACAAACTCTTCTCTCTTCGGCCAGTCCTTTGTGTTGTAGTGTTTTCTATTGCTCTGCTGTCCCATAAACACAGAAAACATCAATATTTCGTGAACCCTCCTTGAAGGCCCAGTAGAAGGGCTATAACCTTCAAATCACCGCAGATCTGCCATCTATACTCCTTGTATTAATAGCGGTCAGTATTTTCTCCGTACTATCATACGTTTCCTTCAAACCTACAGAATGCGCTACTTGAACTGATGGCTTCTGGTTCCCATTATGCAACAATACTGCTATCAAACTAAACTTGGAGGAATCTATAAAAGCCTCCATTCCTTTGGGTCATGTTTTTCTCCCAACTCTGACATCAGTCCATCTACATCAGTACAGAGGGAATCCTGCATACTGTACAATGAAGATAATGTAATATTTCTTTTCCTAAAAACAGAAATTCGTGTCTTTCACTAGCAAGTTCCATTCCTGCAGTCTTGATGCTAAAAGTTCCGCCTGCTATTTTGACACACGGAGATCACGTACAAGATTATTAAGTTCACTTTGTTCTATAAGATGTGATTCATTGGAAGTCTGGTCAATGAAAGAAGGATCATGGGATGATTCTGAGATTTCTTCCTCAATTTTCCCATCCAAAGTTGAGAGCTCTTCCAAATCAGCCGGTGGTGTAGGTATGGGGAGGCCTTCTCCATGAGGAATGGGCCTTATTGCGTACATTTGGATTCTCAATTTGGTGAATTAACACGACCTCGGCGTTGTATTCTCTTCAGTCCCCTGTTCACTATTTCTAACCTTACATTTAATATATCCCTACCAACACAAGTACGTATCTTATATTACTACACTACATATACAGTACGTACACATATATCATAAAAATGTTACGTGACTGACATTTTTTATTGCCATATTTGAAATCACCCCAAAATTTGTAAAGTGCCGAAAAATGGCATCATTACCCAGGGCTTGATGGTGCATTCAAACTCTTGGAACATAATCATATACAGAATGCAGGGAATCTTTTTTTTTTTTGACGTCATGGACTACAGTCGATTTTGGCAGTATAGCACAATAATTTTAAAAGAGACTACAGGTACAGTTGCTTTGTGTAGTAAAAGGGTTAAAGTGAAGCAGATGGTACGTTTGTAAGCCTCCTCATGCATTGGGGACTGCCTTCTGAGATTTAGTGTAGTGGTCTTTTTGGTTGTTTATATTTATATTTTTTAATATACAGTATGGTTATGGCATTTTATTGTTGAATCAGTTTGATAATTGTATAGACTAATTTTACTGTATCTTTCCTTTTCCAGCTGTACATAAGTATCTCGAAGCTAAAGGTTCCCAGTATTATAGAGATTATGTCGGACATCTTGTGTGTTCTTACATCTCTAGCTGAAGAAGGGGATCAGACATTATGTCTGTCAAGTAATGATGTTGAAGATTCTGGAAAATCTGAAGCCACAGGTAAGAGAATTAGGAAGGATTATGGTGATTAGATGTTTTTGGTATACAGTAGTTTAGGATTCAAGAAAATGTCATGGGCGTGTAAAGATCCCAGTTATAAATGCCTTCGGTATACAGTACTTTGCTATACTGAAATTCATTGAAATCTGGCAGTTAAGTAAAATACAGGTATCCCCTGATCTACAATTGGGTTGTGTTCCTGAAAATCCAATCATTTAGTGAACGATTATACTGTATATCGAACATGTTTTCATAGTGTGTCAATGGGGTTGCATTCCAGGAGTCAGTCAAACTGTGATTTTTCACCCAAATATGCCCCAAAACCACTACTGTACAGTGATCCCTCGGTTAACGAGCGCCTCGGTTAACGATTTACCTTCCATAAGATTCTTAACTTCGGTTAACGAGCAATCCCTTGATTCACGAGTATTTTACGAGCCGACCTCAACATGTTTTCACTTGCCTTTGGTGGTCCACCAGCAGTAGTATTAGTCCGCCAGTACAGTAATTGGTTTTAGGGCTTAAATTCCTTACTATTTTAGTAAATATCAAGAAGTTTATACTATTCAATAATTTTAAAAGTTTAATATTAAATTTTTTAGTCATTTTAACAATTATTGAACATAATTGAAAGTAAGGTAACTAGTTTTATGCTTGCCATCCAGCCTGGCAACACACCAAACAGGTGCCAGTTTCTCTGTCTTTTCAGTGAAGGTAACATCTTGCTTGAGACTCTCTTCAACTAAAAGCTTTTTTCTGTGTTTGCAAGAAAATTATTGGTCATTTTGAAATTTATTTTACATATTGACAATATATAATGCAGTGCAGTGTTGATTTAAAGAAAATAATCTTGAATTACACCAAGAGAACTAAAATTTTATGGGTGAAATGGTGCCATGGGGTGACTTCTCTTCCGCCCCAATTCCTTCTCTTCTACCTTCTCCTCCACCCCCATTCTAATTCCCATCATCATCCAGGAGCCTTCTACATACACACCTCAAAGTAAGTGTACTTTTCTACCTTTTTTGGAATTTAGGCAATTTTCAGTGAGCTGCAACCAATTACCCAAATACCCATTGAAACAATGGTTTCTGTTAACGAGTTTTTCGGTTAACGAGCAACCTGCTGTAACGGATTGTGCTCGTTAACCGAGGGACCACTGTATTGGTATATTAAAGCACCTCAACATCACAGTATCATTAGTATGCACTTAATTCACTCAAAAATGATACCACATTCAATATGATTATCAATTACAGTCCGTAGGCAAAGCAATCACTGCAGCAATGTACAGTAATCATAAGTCACAGGTGGTCATTTGGCATGAGAGTGCAGAGCAAACAAAAACACTTCTGAAGCTCAAGAAGAAAGATTCAGGCAGCGGCACATGGGTTGTCGTTCGCTGTGCAGAGGAGAGCTAATACCTTTCTGCTCATGGTGGCCACTTTGGGATGAAAAATGAAGAGGAAGATAAGCATGTAGCTGTTAGGGAGTGATTTTTCTTTCGCTTGCCTGATACAGCAATTTTTACCAGAGAAACTCCAGTCGTAGCTATAGCAAAAAATGGGTATTAAGAATTGAAATACAGTAGTTAAACTGAAGAATCATACATCGAGAGATTGTATATCAATAGTTAAACTGAAGAATTGTAAGTTGAGAGATTGTATATCAAGGGATGCCTGTACAGTATTCAGTATTTGAATTTTCTGTACATTCACCCCTGCTCCCATGAGAAGAAGTGTAAGTTTTTGTAGCAAGATTTGGTTATTGCATGATATTAATTTTCTTCTATATGAAAGATTATCATGTTAAATGAGACTATGAAAAAGTGAATAGTACTGTATCACCAACTTAGGCTTCAAATGCTCTTAGATCTCTGATGGGGTTGCATGGAGATATGTTGAGACAAAGATTATTTTAGTACTGTACAGTATTAGTCATTTCAATCATTGTGTTTTTAATCATTATCCACTATACCACCCCAATCATCCCAAAGCACAATGGTTGAAGCAGAACATCTTTAAACTTTATACAGATCTCTGGCTATTATTAAAATAGTGTATTGTATTATTAAGAGTAAGCAGCTCCAGTCTACTGTATAGGGCTTGGTAAAGAGATAGCATTGAAGGATTGAGGACTTTTCATGGATAAATTGCTTTATTGATACAGTACTATAAATTTATTTCAGATGTGAGTCAGTCAGCATCATCAAACCTGTCAAACAAATCTGATAACAGTCAGCCAGTCAGAACAAAAACTGGTAACACAAATGGGAATTCTACTGCGATCACCAATTTGAGGTACTGTACCTGTACATACACTACTATCACTATCATATTCCTTTCTCAGTGAAAAGGAGGAGGAGCAGCTGAAACAACCTTTATAAGAAAAAATAAGAACATAATACAGTCAACCCTCGCTTTACGCGGTCCCACTTTACGCGTTTCCACGTTTATGCGGTACCCTGATGGATTCTGATACCGGAGGCATTGGTGGTAAACAGGACGGTGATTCGCTCCTTCTGCAACTTCCGGTCCTGACACTTGCTGGCATTCATCACAACGAAGGTCTTGGAAGGTAGCTTTTTCCAAAAAAGACCAGATTCGTCCATGTTAAACACCTGGTCGTCGGTGTACTGTCCTTCCTCCATAATATCACGTAAAAACGGAGGAAATTCCCTAGCCGCAACACGGTCAGCACTAGCTTCTTCACCACCAATGTTAATATTGGTGATCTTGTTCCTCTTCTTAAATCTCTGCAACCACCCAGAGGAAGCATTAAAGGGTTTGGGCTCTGCAATTCCCATCTTACGTGACACTGCAGCATACAGTTCACGTGCGTACTCCTTAACTGAGGGCTTGTCCACCGCCATGTTCCGTCGCGCCTGACGAACCAAGTAGCTCACAAGTAATTTTTCCGTCTTGAGAAGCACCTGGTTGTGGCAATACTTGATCATAGAAGCACCTGTAGACTTTGTGATGTTCATGTGCTCCTTTATCTTGGCTGCATCCTTCTTAATTGTCCTGATAGTTGATTCGTTAACACCATGCTAGTGTCTCATGACTCCATCCCTTAGTTATAGATATTTTACAGTAGCTCATTCTAATCCAATGTCGTGACCAGAAAGTCAGATTTTGCTGGGTTTCAGAATATGTGGGGAAGAAGGGGAATGAGAGTGCTGATGCTGTGGTAAAATCAGCTGCTTTTCTTCCTGTGGCACATCATTCTACTCTACCTGGCTTTGATATGAAGCCAGTAATAAGAGCTGCCATCTGCTTGAGTTGGCAATGCATTAGGATGTTGTCGGAGCAAACAAGCTCCGTGATATCTACCCAGCATTAAGTGCCTGGGGATATCGGATTTTCGCACCACCGGGAAACTGCTTTGACTCTCCTCTTCATTGGCCACACACTGAGGAAGCTGACCTTGTCCACAAGCTTTGAATTTTATCTATTAACGTTTAAATGTTTTTTACGGAAGTTGTATATTATTTATTACATATGTTTTTAACTTGCATTATTTGATTTCAAGTCTTTTAGGCCTTTATTTTAGTTTGGCAACATATGACCGAAGCTATTGCATCGCCAGGAATGTAATTACCACAATCAATCTCTCTCTTTTCGTTTTAATAATATTAATCCCCTCCTGCTTTTATGTTCATATTATTTCTTCTGTTAGATGTTAGATAATGACTTTATTGAAATGGACTGATTCCGATGAATTTATAAATTATTCATAAGTTTTTTTTATTTAACTCAATATTTTCTTCCTTTACTCTCTCTACAGCAAGGAAAGGCCACAAACAAAGTGTCCAGCAGGAAGAATTGTTAGGTCACGATTTAAAACTGCAGCCTCTGCATCAAAGGAAAGTAAAGCAAGTAATAACAGCAGTGGCAGTATGTCTAGTAATACTAGCAGTGGCAATAAGTCCAATAACACCAGAAGTAATGGGTCAAACAACAGTAGCAGGAATGGTCTTAATAGTACTCTCATCATGAAACCATCCAATCCAGGGAAGAAACAAATTATGAAGCCAAAGCCTGTCAGGTAAAATAAGATGTGCTTTATGTGTGCTATGGTTTGTCCTATTAATATACTGTAATAGTTATCCTTAAAATCATTTGAATAGCCAAATCTTGCATCTAAATGAAATTATTTAACATTGTACTAGTTACAATGAGATATTGATGCCTACCGGGTACAGTATATTGTTTCTCACTTTTGATCTTTTTTTAATTTTTGTATTTATGGTTCTTGATTATTAATATTTTATTTTAAATTTTGAATTTTTATTATAAATTTTATTTACTATGAATTATTATTATTATTATTATTATTATTATTATCATCATCATCATTATCATCATTATCATCATTATTATTAATATTATTATTATTAATTTTATTATTTATTATTATTAATTTTATTATTTATTTTTATTATTATTTTTATTATTATTATTATTATTATTATTATTATTATTATTATTATTATTACATTTCGCCCGCTCAGATCCTGATGTGGGTCAGTGACTTGTGCCTGGGTGGGCTAATCCTTGTTAAAAAAAATAATAATGCTATGATTGTGTTATAAATACAGTATATTTATTTGTGGCATTATTATTCCGTTAATTATTTGTAAAACCTACGTGGTCTACCAAGATAAAGCCTGACGACAGTCTGCGTGGGTGTGTCGCTGAGAACTTCTTATGAAGAGTAATGCAAATATAATAAAGTCTTAATGAATTATTTATGGGAAATACGTATTATGATCAGTAAGGAAATGCATTATTGGCCAACTCAGACGCAAAGGCAAGCGGGAAAATGACCCCTAAAAGTGCGTAGCGACAGCGAGCGCTGGATGTAAAAAAAAAACACTTTCCCTTTTTTGTCTCATTACTGTACTGGTAAATGGCGGGCGGTGCGTGATGATAGCTGCGTTTATTACTGGCGTATGTTGTTATTTTACGGTATGTTAGACAGGTTTATAATATATTTTTATTATTTTAATATACCGGTATCTTATTTTTAATCCAGCTTCCCAAACGTAAGTTTCAGTATAAAATAATTAGTGGTAGGAACGTGTGAGTGCTTTATGATGTTTTCCATCACCACAATATGTAAGAGGTAAGAATTTTATACCCAGTATTTAAGACGACCCCTAATTTTGGGCTGATTTTTTTAAGGTTCAAATTTCGTCTTATAGCCCGTGATATACGGTAACACTTGTTTATATGTCCATGGCAGAAATAATCACTATTTCTATGTTTGCACTGATGTAAGTTAGTTATAAAGACTCACATGATCGGCTGGCACTGCATGAAGTGACTGTTACTTGTGGGGGCCGACTGCAGGCGTAGAACAGTTGGCCTTTTGTCACTGATCTCAGGGGCGGGAGTTGCGAGGTCACACTCGCCAAAGTAGGCCTATCCCACACTGGCACCACCAGCCGTCCCACCAAGCACTCAACAACTCACTTGGTTATCGCCGGTGGACACACGGAATATTCGCAATTGATGCCGTAGGGGATAAGAAGATTTACTACTACTACTACTACTGTACTATTATTATTATTATTATTATTATTATTATTATTGTTATTATTATTATTATTATTATTTTGCCTTCACCCAAAATCTATTATGATGATCATCGAGCTATGATACAATGATATGAGATACTAAAGATGTCACTTTGGCTGGTGAGCTCTGAGATGATTTGAGAGTCTGATAAGGGACCGGCAGGGCCATTCACAGATGTTCCATGTTTGGGAGGCTAAATCTAGTGCAGGATGGATGGCGGCAACGTCTTTCCGGCATTGGTGCTTTTCTGCCACAGTATGCAGTTGGGTGATCTCAAAAGTATTGACACCTTCTCGTGTGGTGCTCCTCCAAGTATTACAGTGTGGAGTGATTGTCTCCCAGGTGAAGGAGTCAATTTGGCACTTTATCAGGTTTGCCTTAAGACTTTCCTTATACCTTTTGCATTGCCCGCCAGCGTTACATTTATCATTCGTTATGCACATACACACACACACACACATAATCATACATGCTCTGAATTAGGCTCGTATGAAAGAGCGAGCTCAGCTGCCTCTTTAGGGAACAGGAAATGTCACCTACATGACATGCTGCATGCTTTCGATTCAGGTAGTAATTGACCCATGTTTGTGCGATGTGTGGCTGTGCTGCCCTGCCCTGTCGGGCTGGCAGTGTTGTCAAAACATAGCCCTAGAGTTGCTTGAAACACTTAATAAAAATCAAGCTGCTTGTACTGCATGTAATGCCATGAGGTACATTTCATCACTGATATATCTGTGATTGGCGCCAGCTGACACCTATTGTTTATCACGGATATATCTGTGATTGGCGCCAGCTGACACCTATTGTTTATCACGGATATATCTGTGATTGGCGCCAGCTGACACCTATTGTTTATCACGGATATATCTGTGATTGGCGTCAGCTGACACCTATTGTTTATCACGAATATATCTGTGATTGATGTCCAACGGGCTAGAAACCATGAAATGTACACTAAAAAAAATAAAAAATCATGTGAGAATGCTTGATAGTAAAGTACAACTCATAAATGTTAAAATTTATACTAATCAACTTTGACCCAGAGAAACAGACCATGTACTGGTGAGGGTAGCTTACTGACACCTCTGGTCAAACACACAAGCTTATATACTGTACAGTAGCATGAGGAGGAGGGGTAGACGTAGACCGACTACCAAGGCCTACAGGTAAAAACCTGTCGGTGGGACTGGCGTATCCATCCACCATGGTTCACAAGTTTCAGCTTGTCCCATTGACCAGTGAGGTGTCACATGGTTTATAAGTAATTTTATTTTTGTTATTAATTTCCTGTTGTCTATTGCTCATTATGGTATGCATTTTTAAGTCATGCCAGATACAGTTATCAATTTTAATTAGCTTATGATGAGTGCATAATACAGTACTGAAGATGCATAATGAGTATTTTTTATCACTTTCTAGGACATCACAAGCTCAAAAATCAAAAGCAAATATTCCAATTAGTCGTCCATCATCAAGTTTGTCAAAAGTGGTTGGAACAGTAAATCAGGCTCCAACAAACCAACAAGGGTTTAATGCTAATCCACCGGTCAATCTCCCAGGATCAAAGTCAAGTCATGAAGAGTTGCGTAAGTCTGCTAGATCTTCCTCAGTGCAGACCAACAAGGCTAAATTGCATTCAACTATTCTGAATGCCACTGTACTGACAGATACAACCACTGTGAAGAGCTTGGATGATGTTTTCAGGTAAATACTGATCAGTTGTTTTTATAAACTAAGTAACCTAATTGACTTGTTAAAATGTCTATTGTCTTGTAAGTAACATTGTGAAAAGTTTGTTCTGTAGGCCAGATGTTTATTTTTAGATAGTTTGATGCTTGCTTCATATAAATTTAAATGCTGTAGTACTGTATTTTGTTCTAGTTTCTGAATATATCAGGTAGATGATGATAGAACTTGAAAGTGTTTAGTACAACACAGACTTGCTAAACATATTAATGACTATTATATTTTATGGCATATAAGACGCCCACCCACATAGGACGCACCCCCATTTTAGCAGGGAGTATTTAGGAAAAAAGTTTTGTGTGGATTTCCTCTTGTAGCCATAGTTTTCTTAAAATAATAGACCATATACTGTACAGTAACAGTAAGTGTGAGAAATTAATAAATATAATACCAATAAATAAGTTACAACCAAAAACTGCAAATAGCAACTCATAATACCTTAGTTCACGACTGTATACTGTACCTATATCAAACAACTAACCAGTTGCTGCAGCATTCATCCCCTCTTTTAACTTATCTAATAATTCAACTTTCTTTGTCAGGGTCATCACTGACTTCTGCCTTTTACATTTCACTCCACTAGCACCACTAGCACTGACACTAGGCAGTCTTTTAGGGGCCATTTCACAGAGAAACACTAAAGTTTGAGAGTACAACATTAGATGCTGCAGGAAAAGGCTCGCAAGCAAGCCACCATAGCCACCATCTGCTTACCACAAATCGTCGAAATCGCGAATGGCAAGGGTCTATAGTGGTCCCTCGGTTAACGAGCACAATTCGTTCCAGAAGGTTGCACGTTAACCGAAACCATTGTTTCAATGGGTTTTGGGTAATTGGTTCCAACTCACCAAAAATTACCTAAAGTCAACAAAAAAGGTAGTAAAGTACACTTACTTTGAGGTGTGTATGTAGAAGGCTCCTGGATGATGATGCTGATGTGAATTTGAAGTGGGAGGTGAAGGAGGAGAAGGGAGAAGAGAAGGAAGTGGAGGTGGAGGAGAAGCATTTTACTGCTTCATGGAAGGTGAGTCACCTTCCATGAAAATGTCAGGAACCTCTGGACTGACAGATTCTCCACCAGGCACATCCTCTCTCCTTCTTGAAGTGGAAGGCTGAGGGCTCCCATCTTGTTCCCGCTGCCTATTACTGAAGAAACTCAATTTTTGTCTGTGGGGCATCTCTCCTCCTCATCATTAACTGATGTTTGAAGAAGGAGACCACTGTGTAATCAACATGACACAAAGCTATTTCAGACTTTTCCACATCTGGGTGCCTTGAAGCCAGTTTCCTGAACTTCTCCTAGTGGTGAACAGCATCTTTCAACTCTGAAGTTGACATATGGTCATCAGTCATCACTTTCCGTTTCCTCCTCACCACTGTCAACCTCGAGCATCTCATCCAGTTGCTGCAAGTCATCTGGAGTAAGTTCCTGTTCATGAGACATCACAAGCTCTTCTACATCCTCCTCCTCCACTTCAAGGCCCAATGACTGACCAATGGACACAATCACCTAGTGCAACTCTGTTTTATCCTGAAATCCATCAAAATCATGGACTACTGATGGCCACAGTGCTTTCCATGAAGAATTGAGGGTTCTAGTGGAGACTTCTTGCCTTGAGGACACAATCAATTTTACAGCCTCCAGGATGTTAAACTGTGTCTTCCAGAACTGTGCCAGTGTTAGTTCAGGATCAGTGGAAGTTGCCTGATGACACCTGATAACCACAAGGAAAAAATAAAGCACGAAGTTCCCAAGCGCTTTCGTGTAATTCACATCTTCAGGGGTGAGTACAGACTAAGGAGAAATACATAACAAGGCTTATATATACAGTAGAGAAGGGTGAGATCAAGTCCACAATGGTCTGGTCACTAGGTAGTGACCCTACTCATCTTCAAAAGCACCGCAGCAGTCACGGCTGGTTCAAGGTTACATAGCGCCAAAGTGTGTGCTGGGTGGGGGGGCGGGTGGTGTCTTCGGGAACGTCCTCTTTTTTTAATGTTCAGATATGGGAACCCTATTCTTACAGAAACATTTGGTCAGCTCCTGACAGCATGTCGCAATCGGGGGAAGAGTCGTCCAACGTATCTGCCATGCCTCTCCCTTCTGTGTCCATCCCCAGTTGAAAGGACTGCTGGTTTCTGGATTGGAGATTGTTGCCTGGCCCCAGATGATACCAGCCTGGTAGGCAGCCCACTTTGCATGTTCCTTGAGGGCTGCCTGGGTTGGTGGAATGGAGTCATATGGTCTCTGCTTGTGGGAAAAGAGATTTAGTCTTGCCTCCTCTACACCAGTGGAGTGTCTGTGGATTTGTGTTCCTACCTTGTAGTTGGCAAAGCAGTTGTACTGTAAGAGATGTGACATAGCAAGGTCAGACTTTGAGGCGCCATGCTGGAGTTGGGATTTGATATCTGCACCATGTTCGATCATGCATACAAATTAAAGCAGTGATGATGGAACAGCCTGTTCAATGCACCCTTCATGAAATGTACTGCTGAAGTGTAACTTGTGCTGAAGCATGTCCCGTCGTATCATCCCAGCAGCCTTGGCCAGATGGATCGTGTCACCGTATTTACTTGCTTGTGCCAGGATTGAGCCAACATCCTTCTCAAAGGCCAGTAGGATATCTCTTCCTTGGTGATGAGCTTGCAGCTGGGGTATGTGAAAAAGCAACTGGTCCTTCAGTCAAGTAGCATGAACATCGGGCAATCCAACACCCAGCTGCTCAAGTCTTTGTCTGTAGAGTGTGATCAGGTCAGCAAGTCTGAAAATGGGTGGTTCAGTTGGGTATGCATCCTTGTTTGGATGAAGCTCTTGTGCTTCTTGCTCATGAGCATTTCAGTGTGTTCTTTCTAGGTTGCACAGGTCTGCCAGGCAGCGAGGGTGATACTTCAGTTATTGTGCCACAACATCTCCTGCACTTAGTTTGGCAAGGAGTTTTCCATCGCCAAGTGTCTTCACACACTCATTCAATCTTTTATTAAGTTTCATTGTCATTGCTTTGGGGTCTCTGACCATTCGTGATATCTTGCTACTGCTGCTCTCCTCTGTAGCAACTACAGAGGTTCGCCTTTTCTGAGCTCTGTTTAACTTTGTGTTGTTGAACAGAAGTCTGCAACTCTCATGAATCTGTGCCTTGTTTCTCCTCAAGGTCTCCTCTATCCCATCATCTTCAACAATTCTTGCAGGGTCAAGCTTGATTGGCAGTGCATTGATTGAATGAAATACAGGAATATTCCTTGCCAAGCTCTTGTAACCGTCATCTCCTTTTTTGGCAGGATTTGCATGTGGAGACTTAAGATCTTCTCTCTTATCCTGTTGACAAAGACAACACTGCCTAGTCCGTGAGGAATGATTTGTTGGTAGATTTTGTGTCCATAACTATTTTTGATTTTCAGGGCCGAGGGTTTATCCTTTTACCACCCTGATGAGCACTTTCTTGTATGGGATACAACTAGGTTCATGCCTTTTGCCCTACACCTAGTCCGATCGTTCATCCAGTGTCATTAGTCTCGTGCGATCTGTACACCATCCAGATAACTAAAACCCCGTTATCCTTGGCTTGGCTCTCCCGCGCTGGCACATCTTGTCAATTCAGGTGCGGCTGCTTAACTGATTTGGGGGTTGGTTAAGCAGTATTTGGGACACTAAGCTGTTGCAGTATGACATGCTTTTTCTTAGCTGACACTGAACCCCATGCTGGGTTGCACAGCAGTGATGTCATCAGTGTGCCCTGGTAGTGCTTGACAATCACTCCCTCACATGCAGAGACCCTCTGCATGCTACCCTCACCTAGTCGGAAAAAACATCAAACCAGTACATAAAACCAGTCATAAATAAGACAAATATGTATCTGAGAGTATCAGAAATAGAAAAACTCGTGTGAGCATGCTTGAAAACATACATATCGACACTAAGATCATTTACATTGACCAACTACATCAATTTCTATAAATAAAGAATCATCTTTTGAAGGTCAATTTGGCAGCCATCTTGAAAAATGGCTGCCATCTTGGATTTCCAAATGGCCAATCAGGCAGATTTGACAAGTAGCCCCTAGGGGTATGATCATGCCAAATTTCATGCTTGTATCACCATTTGCACGATTTTTCCATTATTCGCACTACTAACATGGTTTTTGTTTTACTGTCATACAGAATGTAAAAGCGGGTGTTGATATTGGTGATGGTGAGCTGCTCCGGGGTGGGGACAGGGGTATAATGATGACAATTTTAGATATACTTGTACCTATTCACATGGGTATATATGCAAACACTTTCTTACATAATTAATGTAGTTGAACTTTGGTAGTGATTGAGGTGTTTGAACTGAAATTTTTTATCCGCAGTACAACGATGGTTGGCGGTTTGGCTCCTAGTGGTCGTAAATTGGATCTAACTGGAGTTGTACTTCCTGAGCTTCCTGATATTTCTGCTATAAGGCTGGACAGTAATAGTAGTGGAAACAGAACAGGAGATACAACTGTAATGTCATCTGCTAGTGAGAAGGACTTATCAGTAAGTTTTGTATATTAATGAAGTTATTTTCTATTTGGTCAGATTTCTTGATCTTAGGTCACTTTATTCCATGTACCTGTAAGTTGTTAATTTTTACCAAGACTGATTGACTTGGTTACAGAATCTTGTAGAGATATGGTGGAAATATGCATACAGTGGTCCCTCGGTTAACAAGCACAATCCGTTCCAGCAGGTTGCTCGTTAACCGAAAAACTCGTTAACCGAAACCATAGTTTCAATGGGTTTTTGGGTAATTGGTTCCAGCTCACTGAAAATTGCCTAAATTCAACAAAAAAGGTAGAAAAGTACACTTACTTTGAGGTGTGTATGTAGAAGGCTCCTGGATGATGATGATGATGATAATGGAATTAGAATGGGGGTGGAGGAGAAGGTAGAAGAGAAGGCATTGGGGTGGAAGAGAAGTCACCCCATAGCGCCATTTCACCCATAAAATTTTAGTTCTCTTGGTGTAATTCAAGATTATTTTCTTTAAATCAACACTGCACTGCATTTTATTGTCAATATGTAAAATAAATTTCAAAATGACCAATAATTTGCTTGCAAACACAGAAAAAAGCATTTAGTTGAAGAGAGAGTCAAGCAAGATGTTACCTCCACTGTAAAGACAGAGAGACTGGCGCCTGTTTGGTGTGTTGCCAGGCTGGATGGCGCGCATGAAATTAGTTTCCTTACCTTCAATTATGTTCAATAATTGTTAAAATGACTAAAAAAATTTATATTAAACTTTTAAAATTATTGAATATTATAAACTTCTTAATATTTGCTAAAATAGTAAGGAATTTAAGCCCTAAAACCGATTACTGTATTGGCGGACTAATACTACAGCTGGTGGACTGCCAAATGCAAGCGAAAACATGTTGAGGTCGGCTCGTAAAAAACTCGTTAACCGAAGTTAAGAATCTTATGGAAGGTAACTAGTTAACCGAAATCTCAGTAACCGAGGCACTCGTTAACCGAGGGATCACTGTACACCATATATGTAATATACTGTACAGTATGTAGTGCAAAGTGAAAATACAGTATAGTCTGGATTTATGCGGTTTTTGTTAACTCGTTTGGTCATTTACGCGGTGCCTTGCCAGAATGAAATGCTTTAATTACTTGGTAAATTTGGTCATTTACGCGGGAAGTGGCCCAGGCAGGGTGCGCACAAGGTCGCCCAGTCATCAAAACATTACCGAGTTCTTCATCCACCACCCACCACAGCTGGTCCAAGTCAGTGATAGTGAGGATATGGACTTTGAGGGGTTTGACAAAGAGGCCCCGTGTGCCCAGCCATCTTTTCTACTAACGTAAGTGTGAAAAAACCTAATATTATTGATATTTCTCTTAATTATTAATTATGTGTGCATACCATCATAGAATTAAGATGTTGTTTTGACTACAAGGTACGTATTGTGTCGGAAAAAGTGGAGTTTGGGGGTCGGCCCAGTCTCTATTTCAATTAATCCCATATGTTCTGTTATTTCATTTACGTGTTTCTCGTTTTACGCGGGCCTCCACGGGTTCAATTGACCACGTAAATGCAGACTATACTGTACAGTACAGGCATTCCCAGGTTACGGAAGGGTTCCGTTCCCAAAAATCTTTGCGTAACACAAAATTGTGTACAATGTAATGTGAAACCATTTTTCCCATATACGTACATACTTCCATTATAAAGTAGAGATGCATTCAGATTTTTTTGAGGCTCAAAAAGTAATGCAAGCACACATACGTGTGAAATTAGATCAGCACATCGCGGTCGACACACACTGTAGGATAAAGATGTTACCTGAGAGTGGCTGGCTGTTCGCGGAAAGAACCTCAGCTGACTTTGTTTATTTCTAATAAAATTTTTACTCATATCTCTGTTAATACTAATTTGCCCAAGGAAAGAATTATATTTGTCATTTTTTTTAATAATCCTAGAATAACCATATACAAAAATCTTGTTGCAGCCATTAAACGAATATTAACCTAACTTAAAATAAATGTAATATTTTACATGTCAGCAAAGTGTTCATAAACTGTAGGTAGGTTAGGTTATGTTATGTTAGGTATTGCAGTTTTATGATATAATAAATGTAATACTTTACATGTCAGTGAAGCGTTGATAAATTGGAAATTATAAATATGAAACAATTTATTAAAAAAAAAAAATCTTATTATAATTTGTCCAAAGGGTCTTTAAGCCTACACTCACATTAGGCTAAGATAGAGAACTTGTTTGAAGACGGTTCACATTTCTTTTGTATCTCTTTAATTCTTGAATTTCAGTCGATATCCAGGTATCAACAGGAAGGCGAGACATTTATCTTGCTATGTGTGCCAAGAAGAACGCTGAACATCTTTAATAACCTGAAAAAACGAAATTTAAGTACATGGGTACGTGGGTTTCAGGCAAGTCGTGCTTGTTTCAAGGCGTGAGGAAAGATTTCTTGTAGTTTCTTAATTCTGCAATGTCAGTCAATATCAGGTCATCCAGAAGACCATGAGACATTGTTCTTGCCACGTCTGACCAAAAAATACAAAATAAAAATAATAATAATAATATTGCCCCAAATATAAGAAATACAAGTTACATCACTTAATTCACAAGAGATAATCGTGATGCTTAACACCTCGAGAAACTTGCTATACTTTCTTAAGTATACATTGTAAGGCAATATCCAGTTGTTTGGAGTACCCTCAGACATTCACCTTGCCATGTCTGGCAAAGGAAAAACTTTGAATTGCTAACAAGCTCAAAATTGAGTTGCTTCATCCATGTCATAAGTGAAATGCCCAGTAATCCCCTGGGTATTTCCTTGTAATATTTAGCTAATTACTTAGATTTTTTATTTATTTATTTATTTTTTGGTTTATTTTTTCTTGCTATATCACTTATTTTTTGGAGGACTATGAGAACATAAGGCATTCAATTTGTTATACCTAGCCACAGGAAAGCCTTAGCCTTATAAGTGTGCTAAAAAAACAAAAAAAACAATCAAACATCAACCAAGGCAAGGCCATAGTCCTTCAACACCATCTGGTCATCAGAGTAAGAGTGTTTACAACAGTGACGTCACCGAGCTGTGTATTGTGGGTAAAACAAGTGCCTGGTGGCCTATCCTTCCTGCCTCTAATCCTTAGGGTGAGCTTCCCAAGCAGCCATCTTGCAACTACCACCAGAATCCACATACAGTATTTACTCCACTGGAAATGAATGTAAATCATAGAACAGATTACTGAATTGGCAGACTAGCCCATCAGCTGATGCTCACAACAAAACGTGATGTTCGTAAGGATTTCGTTAATTGAAGTTTTGTTCGTTAACCGAATTGAAGATCCTTATGGGAGGTAATTCGTTAACCAAAATTTCGTTAATTGAACCGTTTGTTAACAGAGGAACCACTGTATTCTTAATAAGAGAAAGGACATTGCATTTCCATGAGTGTGCACGTACATACGTTGGCCTTCCTCTATCAGTGGTTAATTCTACTGTACATACTATAAATAACATTAATTAAAAGATACATTGTTTTACATTAATTTTACTACAGCTACAACCAGGGTCTTACTGTATTTTCCATAGTTTTAAATGGAAAACTATCGTCATGGGTGTAAACACTGACAACAACAATGGCGTCCCGTCTCCTCTTGTGTGACTACATATTATTGATTTATACTGTATAAGGTGCATTAATATCCATTATTTAAAGAATATAGTTTTTAGTTTTTATTAATTTTATTTATTTTTTTTGGGAGGGGGGGGGTAAAAAAGCCACACAAAATATATGAAAAGGTTACACTAGGAACGCATATTATTATTGCTTTATTTTAATGTTAATTACTGATTCACAATACGACGATTCATCGTACACTGCAATATTGGGTGACACATTGCCGTTGCTATTCGAGGCTTTACTGTATTTTCTTTATTTCTATGCCACGGTATTTTAATTTATGCTCTTGCTCTAATAAAGAAGACGGTTTTACTAGGGTGGACTAAAATATCCGTAGTGATATAAATTACGTGCTTATTTACATACTCGGACTTAAATTATGCGTTTAGAAAACAATCACTGTACTGTATTTTTTTATAATTGATTCTTTATTTTGTATTAGTGACCAAATTACAGTACTATACATAAGTGGCACACTGTTTACTATTTATGTAGCATATCCCCTCCATCACATGTGTCACTTACCATTTCCCTGTGTCACCTACCATGCCTCTGTGTCACCTACCATGCCTCTGTGTCACTTACCATACCTCTCACTTACTACAATGCTTCATTCTTCGCCTGCAGTGCTGGTAATTATTACTTTTTGAAAATTAGTAATTACATGTAGTACATGTATATGGGCTGATAGTATTTTATTGCCTTTTTTGGGGGGGGGGGGTGGGTGGAGGAAGTTCCTCGACAAGTCAGAATTTGTGATAATTCGGCAAGGCCAGAGCCCCATATGTACCGAGTTATCGAGGTTTTACTGTATCCTGAAATATAAAATTGCGTAAATTCAATTAATGAGGGTTCAGTGTGTGGGTTGACTCATACAGTATATATTCTGACTAATTTTCTGTTGAATGGTAAAGTTAGCTGTGCCCATATGTCATTTGAGAGCTTTGTAAATGAAGCCTGAAAGAGCCTGGGGAGGTGGATACCAAGGTGGTGTTTGATGATTTCTGGAAATTGGGCAATTACAATCTCCACAAGCAGGTGATGAGGAAGAACAGCTCTCACAATAGTATTCCACTTAATAAATTCACGATTCAGTTTTGTGCTAGAATTAATATAAAGATAAAAACAAATGTCAAAATTGGAACTTGAGGTGACTAGGCTTATAACCCTCTCCCCTTTTACTATAGAAACCCTTATTTGCAACCACCAGTTTTACTAAAATTGGTCTTCTTAATTTGGAATCCAACCCTTGGTGAAAGCAAAGAAGACCTATAATGATATTTTTTCTGTATAAAACAAATATTCTTTCTTAATAGCAAGAGGGTGAAACCATCATCTTACAAAATGTGACTGCAGAGGAATTAGAGCAAGAATACCTGAGTTATTTGCAGTGGGCCTACATTGATGTCAACAGTGAAGATGCCTTCAATATTCATCTCAGAGATACACAGGTATGACTTAAAGATTAATCACTCTCTTTTCTTGTCTTTGCTCCTCTTTTCTTTTTTCTTTTTCAATGGAGATGTTTTTCCAAGCCTTTTATTGCTGTTCTGGAAGGTGGCTGGGGTCAAGAGTAAAATCTCCTTTCATCTTTATGTGCAATAGCTAATGAGGATGTGGTTTTTAAAAAGATTAATGAAGATGTAAAGGCAAAAGAAACTGAAACTCAGTGAGTATTTATTAATAATGGAAAAATTTAGTGCAAAGATAAGGAAGAGGAAAGTAGTACCAGAAGTATAAGGAGAATAAGGCAGATGATTTTGATATAAAAAACTATGTGTAGTACAAAGTCATGGTTTCAACTTTACCCTAAGCATCTTTATGCATGGATATCATCCCAGGGTAATGAAACTAGTGTATTTTGCAGCCTGTAAGTCGACTTTTGAAGCTCCATTTTTTTTTTCAAACTAGGGGTCTTATACAACAGGTATAAAATGACAACCTCTAAATATGGCTCCACGACTAGTATCAGATTTTAACTTTACTGTATTGGTAGGTCTCAGCTACTTAGTACTGGGTTGCAACTTAATTTCCAGCACTCACAAACATGTTTTACCTAACTAGCATTTTTCCGGAAGGGTAACTGTTACTGAACTCCGCTTAAGGTCAGTGTTTACACTACAGTACACATTTCACTTTAACGACTAATTGGTACTACGAAAACTATTGTTAAAGTGAAAATCAATAATGTGGTGAGTATAGTTTACATGTTAAATGGGTCAGTTGGTAACAGCCCTAAGACACTTTCACCCCCTATAACCCCTATAAACCCCACAAAAAATTTCAACCACTTATTCACACACATTAATACTGCATGTAGAGTTAATAACTAATAATAACTAATCTTTAGAGTCCAGTGGTTCCCAACCTTTTTTGACTGTGACCCAAAATAAGTACTATATTTTTAAAATTGTCTGAGGGCCCCTCGCGACACTACTGAGGACACCCCGCGACCCTGATTTGGATCGCGACCTGAGGTTGGGAAACGCTGCTTTAGACACTCTTTGAACTGCTTAATGAAATTGTTTGCAGTTCATCCAAAGGCAGGGGAGTGGTGTTAGTGCCCCCCTGCCCCCACACTCACACTTTCTCTTCATAGACCGTACAGTAGCCTCGGGAACCTTCATCTTCTTAACTATCTCGCATGTTCTTACACCCTGTTGGTCATGTCCATGATTACTTTCTTTTCATCGTATGAGTTCTTTCTCTTAGTCCCACCTTTGTGATGCTCACATTTCTTGGCCATCTGTTTATCCTCCTTTTGTCCTCCACTAGACCTCCAGCAAGACCAGCTCCTCCATAGTTTATACTTCACCACAGGTTGAGAGGTTATGCAACTCGTTCACAGATAAGTGAGTAGGTTACTCCACACCACCTGTTCACATGCTCTAATCAAAACAAACCACCCCACTCGCTGACGTCATCAAGATGGCCACCCAGAGTGACTGTGAACTTTTGCTACTGATCGTTAATGTGTTGAGGTGTCACATTTCATTACTGTCGTTATTGTGATGAATCGTAAATGTGAAACTTGTTAAAGTGAATTATGTACTGTAATCATGTTGTGAGACCCCCTACACATACCGAAACCTTTCAAAACATTAAAATATCTTTCGGTGTTAACTAAAAGAATCATCTTTCCTGAAAAAAGAACTCCACACTCAATACCATGAGTCATTTGTTTACAAAGTCCAAACAACTTATAGGCTTAGCTGCCTTCCACAACGTCTGTCTTCAACACTCAGTGAATTAGTACAGTACGTACAGTACAGTAGTGTATTTATCATCACTAAATAAATATTATTGTAGTGTATTTATCACCACTTAATAAATACTATTGTAATGTATTTATCACCACTTAATAAATACTATTGTAATGTATTTATCACCACTTAATAAATACTATTGTAATGTATTTATCATCACTTAAAAAGTAATATTGTAGTGTACAGTTTTATACATTTGCATATACCCTGGTTTATTCATTAAGCAGTTGTTAAGTGTATAAGTCGCCAAATTGAGCCATCATATGTCACTTGAAGGTAGTAAATAGCGTTGTTAGGAAGATATCTTCATACCATATACTGTACTATGCATTGTGTTACAGTGACCCCTGTTGTAAACTTTTTGCTGAAAGCTCTCACATGAACGCATCCTCAGTGAATACCATCCGATGCAGTTTAGCCTTATGTTTTCAAGTCATATTACAAATTACATTTGTATTTTTCTCTGTTATTGAAAATGTTATATTAGTCATGGTGAACCATAAACCTTATATAAGAGGCCAATCATATGAGGATCCAATACTTGATCGATAAATAAATAAACCTGGCGAATGCGGCAACATCAGCCTGCTTATAATGTAAGACACTGGGTATAATTTAAACCCAGTGTCTTAATTGTCGGTAGACCTATATCAAATCTGATTAGACTATTGTACAGTATTCAGTGAAAAAGTTTTGTCATTTTTGTAAGATTTTTTATTTATTTTTATTAAATCTTCCCCATTTTTTAAACTATGCACTGTATGTACAGTACTTAGATTTTTTTTGTTTAAATATTTCTGGTGACGAGAGCACCTCAGAGTCTGAAAAAAGCGAATTCCGATATACAGTGGTCCCTCGGTTACCGAACGGTTCTATTAACGAAATTTCGGTTAACGAATTAGCTCCCATAAGGATTTTCAGTTCGATTAACGAACAAAACTTCAATTAACGAAATCATTACGACAAACACGTTTTGTTGCGCACATCAGCTGATCACCTGATCGGCTAGTCCACCTATACAGTAACTGGTTCTATGTTTACATTCGTTTCCAGTGAAGTAAATATCAAGAAAGTTGGTCTCTTGAATATTTCTGCATTTTTTATATTAAAATTATTGGTCATTCTGAAATTTAGTTAACATATTGATAATATAGACAGTACAGGGAACAGTTTTTGTGCATCCATCAGCTGATTGAATCTCCCAACAACACTTCTCAGTTTAACTTCGTTTACAGTGAAATGAACATGATTTTGTTGGTCTCTTGAATATTTTTGTATTATTACATTAAAATTATTGGTCATTCTGAAATTTAGTTAACATAGTAATAATAAAGCATAACTGACCATGAAGTGATGCAACTCTGCAGATGAAGTGGGAAAAGGTCATATTGTGTATGGTGATTGAAGTCAGCTGTTCCATTGTCTTCACATATACAGTATCTACTACAGTATTTCAGTGACATCCTTTATATCCCTTACTCTTTCAATTATTGCCTCATTCATTACTCCCATTGTTTCAATAATTTCTCTAATAACCTTCTTAAAAGTTAAATTGATTATTGTATACAATATTTTTGTCATAATTTTTGGGGGCACTTATGACATTTAAGTGTTCCAAGTGTGTATACATTATGCAGTATGATTCATATAAATGAGCTCATTAACTTAAATATATCACTTTTTTCTTTATAGGCCCAGATATCTTTCTTAGAGCAACTGGTGAATGAGAAGCAGTTAGAGTTAAGTGAGAAAACTCAGATGACCGATCTCATCCTTCACCATCAAAGTGTGAATGAAGCTCACAAATTGCAGACTGATTTGCTTCAGGAATTAGTTGGTGAGTAGAAACTTCCTAAAAACCATAAAAAATAACTTGGGTATATAAGTAATAAAAAATTATTTGTGTCAGAAAAACTAACATCTTGTACTGTTGTGCTGCTTTGGCCTGCCTCCGCATTGGCCACACACAACAGACTCGTGGTTTTTAATGGAGAGGGCACTCCCTCCCCATTGTGATAACTGCCTGGTCCCTTTAACTGTTCGACACCTCCTGGTGGAGTGCCCCAGTCTTGAGAGTTGGTAGTATGGGATGGGACATCTCTGTGGAGGAAGCCAGCCTTCTACTCAAGCTTTGGTTTTATCTTGTAACATTTAAGTGGTTTTCACAAAAGTTCTATGTTATTTGTTACTTATGTTTTTTACCTTTGCATTATTTGATTTTAGTGTTTTAAGCCTTTATTTTAATTTGGCGACATATGACCTAAGCTGTTGCATCCCCAAGTATGTAATTACCACAATCAATCAATCAATCTATCTATCAATCAATCTTGTGCTATTTGTCATCCAAGGGAGAAGATTTATTGGTGATCTTTAGTTTCTCAAAAGTCATAATTTTTCAAGACTTTTACATTGTTGAATGGTAATATTCTTGATGTTATGATCAGGCTGACTACTAGTCGACATGTGTAATAGACCTATCCCATAACTATGCCATTATTAGTTTGATAAGAAAAGAAAACTTAATTGTGTCACATAGAATAAAGCACAGAGCAGTGGCAGTAATCACCCAAATACTGTAGAGGTGTGCACTGGTGTTTAGTAATTAAGTTCTATTATTTTGTTATTCTGAATATTTTTACATGTTCTGTACTGTACTATAAATAAGAAAGAAATAGGAATACAGTACTACAGTTGGGCAATTTGTGCGGCTTGGAATGACACTCCAAGAACCACTAAAATAAAGTTTGTAATGCAACATAACACACACACACATGTGGACTTCATTATTCAAACATTACTTCACTAATCATTTGTCCTTGTGGTACTGGGGTAGTGCTCCCTGTTCACATACACAGGCCCAGGAATTGATTCCTGACTAGTGAGGTATTGTTTGTATATTGAAGTCCATGTATATATAGACTGTTGGGATTTATTGATAGTCTCGCTGTAGGGGGACAGGAAATTTTAGTAAGGGTTGTTATCAATTCCCTCTTGTATATCATTTATACATGCGTGGTTTTTTACCTATGTTTTTTTTTTTAAATACCGTATTTTGCGGCGTAGAAGACGCTACATCGTGGAAGACGCACCCTGATTTTGGAAATTTAATTCTAGGAAAAGACCTTTTATACTTACTAACCGACACCAGTGAAACCGTTGCTTGATATACAGCCCTTTTCGCACAAGTACACACACCTCTTTGAATATCATCACTTTAGCTGCTTATCAGTCGTCATTTTCATTAATTTTTAATAAATCTGTATAAGAAGTGGAAATCTTTAATACAGCACTCATTTTATACACCTGGTCACCTCCGCGTCTAGCGGTCTGTCGTGTTTACATTCTTTCTCTTGATTTTGTCGTTATGACAATAACAATAAATATTTTCCATCAGTAGAAGGTAAGTAAATGTAAACAAGTGTGAAGAAACAAAAATTCCTGCACTTTGAGACCAGCAGACAACCTTTCGCAATTCCTCAATAGATGGCGCTGCTGCACCACTGCCATTATTAAACAAACCGCACAGCTGCAAGGGTTGTGTAGCTGCAGCCGTTTATTTTTTATTTTTTACCTGCTGAGTAAGTAAATAATCGTATTTTTCACATTATATCAACAATATTAATTAAATCAATTGTTTTATAGTACTGTATAGAGAATACAATACTTGTAATTGCTAAGTAATGAGGTAACAGTCTTTGTAAGGGGCTGATTTCAGTTGATTCTAAGGAAACCTCCGCTACAACCCATCAACTAGCGTTATGGAAGGCGCATGGTAATTTTCAAGGTATGGGAGTATATTTTTGTAATAAAAAGTGTCTTCCACGTCGCAAAATACGGCAGTTTCTTTCATTTAATTTATATAATTTTTTAAATCTCTTTATAGTAAAACCTCCATAATTCTTACTCCTCTAATTCGAAATTACTCATAATTCATATTGTTTTGCTGTTACAAAATATATATTGTAAATTTTGTAATATTTGGTTAAATGTCAAAACATGAGCCATTTTGAAATATCATGATTATATACTGTGTGTGTGCATGTGTTGGACTCTGTAACTGAAAAGCAACCACAACTCTTTGTGGTTGCTTGTAAAATAACCAGAAGCGAGATTTTGTTGTAGGTCAGGTCAGGTTAGGTTAGTTTGGATTGGGTTAGGTTAGGTTAGGTTAGGGTTGGGTTGGGTTAGGTTAGGTTAGGTTTGGGTTAGTTTAGTTTAGGGTAAAATCCAAACGCAAAATTTTGCTTTCTGGTTATTTGAAAAGCGACCACAACACATATGTATATGAGTCTGCTTTTTCTGGGCTTGTTCTTAAACTGGAACTTCAGCATTACAGTATTCCTCCATTTTTATTCTTATTGTACCTTAACCTCTCTTGTACACAACAGGTGCTTAAAATAAAGAATTTTTTTTTTTACTCCTGCATTTTGTTAATACAATAATTAATATTCCATATTTTCACTGCTACTTCAGATGGGCTTCCTGGATGTGAAGAAGCTGAGAAGATCATGAGTCAAGAATTGGAGAAGAACTTGCATCAGGTCAAAATGGACAACCTGTATGTGCCAGAGAAACATAAACAATATAGAGGTCAGGAACAAAAAGAATTTCTAAGTTGAACTAAATTTTTCTGTTGGTGAGGCTGTATCAGGTAGAATGATATCATTAAAAAGAAGGTGTTAATATTAAAATCAGACAGTTTGTTGAACTTAAGGTTTCTACAGGATGTTGAACTAAAGGTTTCTACAGGATGTTGAACTAAAGGTTTCTACAGGATGTTGAACTAAAGGTTTCTACAGGATGTTGAACTAAAGGTTTCTACAGGATGTTGAACTAAAGGTTTCTACAGGATGTTGAACTAAAGGTTTCTACAGGATGTTGAACTAAAGGTTTCTACAGGATGTTGAACTAAAGGTTTCTACAGGATGTTGAACTAAAGGTTTCTACAGGATGTTGAACTAAAGGTTTCTAGGTTTCAGGATGTTGAACTAAAGGTTTCTACTAAAGGTTTCTTGAACTAAAGGTTTCTACTGAAAAGGTTTCTACATGTTGAACTTAAAGGTTTCTACAGGATGTTGAACTAAAGGTTTCTACAGGATGTTGAACTAAAGGTTTCTACAGGATGTTGAACTAAAGGTTTCTACAGGATGTTGAACTTAAGGTTTCTACAGGATGTTGAACTAAAGGTTTCTACAGGATGTTGAACTAAAGGTTTCTACAGGATGTTGAACTTACAGGATGTTGGTTTCTACAGGATGTTGAACTGAACAGGTTTCTACAGGATGTTCTAAAGGTTTCAGGATGTTGAACTAAAGGTTTCTACAGGATGTTGAACTAAAGGATGTTCTACAGGATGTTGAACTAAAGGTTTCTACAGGATGTTGAACTTAAGGTTTCTACAGGATGTTGAACTAAAGGTTTCTACAGGATGTTGAACTAAAGGTTTCTACAGGATGTTGAACTAAAGGTTTCTACAGGATGTTGAACTAAAGATTTCTACAGGATGTTGAACTAAAGATTTCTACAGGATGTTGAAATAAAGGTTTCTACAGGATGTTGAACTAAAGGTTTCTACAGGATGTTGAACTAAAGGTTTCTACAGGATGTTGAACTAAAGGTTTCTACAGGATGTTGAACTAAAGGTTTCTACAGGATGTTGAACTAAAGGTTTCTACAGGATGTTGAACTAAAGGTTTCTACAGGATGTTGAACTTAAGGTTTCTACAGGATGTTGAACTTAAGGTTTCTACAGGATGTTGAACTAAAGGTTTCTACAGGATGTTGAACTAAAGGTTTCTACAGGATGTTGAACTAAAGGTTTCTACAGGATGTTGAACTTAAGGTTTCTTACAAATCCAATTTTTATATTTAAATGTGCTAAGGTTTGTAAGGGTATATATATATATATATATACAGTGACCCCTCTTTTAACGAACGCCTCGGTTAACGAACTGCCTTCCATAAGGATCTTCAATTCGGTTAACGAATTTCTTACGAACCGACCTCAACATGTTTTCGCTTGCACTGGCCGGGCAACCAGCTTTAGTATCAGTCCGCCAATACATTTATCGGTTCTAGGGCTTAAATTCCTTACTATTTTAGTAAATATCAAGAAGTTTATACTATTCAATAATTTTAAAAGTTTAATATTAAATTTTTTAGTCATTTTTAACAATTATTGAACATAATTGAAGGTAAAGTGACTAGTTTAATGCACGGCATCCAGCCTCTTAACACAGCAAGCAGGCGTTAGTCTCTCTCTGTTTTCACTGGAGGTAACATCTTGCTTGAGACTCTCTTCAACTAAACACTTTTTTTCTGGGTTCCAAGCAAATTATTGGTCATTTTGAAATATATTTTACATAGTGACAATATATAATGCAGTGCAGTGTTGATTTAAAGAAAATAATCTTGAAATACACCAAGAGAACTAAAATTTTATGGGTGAATTGGTGCCATGGGGTGACTTCTCTTCCACCCCAATGCTTTCTCTTCTTCCTTCTCCTCCACCCCCATTCTAATTCCCATCATCATCATCATCATCCAGGAGCCTTCTACATACACACCTCAAAGTAAGTGAACTTTTCTACCATTTTTGTTGAATTTAGGAAATTTTCGGTGAGCGGGAACCAATTACCCAAAAACCCATTGAAACAATGGTTTTGGTTAACGAGATTTTCAGTTAACGAGCAACCTGCTGGAACGGATTGTGCTCGTTAACTGAGGGACCACTGTACTGGTTTAGTGAACAATGTTATTTTCTGATGGAACATACTGCAGATTAATAATACCATCTACTTCTGATCTAATGAAATGGTACTTAATATCGATATGTTTCGACATCTAACACCACATTTTCCTGATTGAAATTGTTACTGAATTTTACACATCTAACTCCCTTAACACCATTTATCTCTGGAAAATATACTAGATCGGCTGGACTCAGTCCATCATATCCTATGAACACTCCTTGTTCACTGCAAGGGTCCAACTTCTTCTTGTTCTGGACATAAGCATGGCAAGGACTTCCAAATACATGCATGTTACTCAGATTTGGCCTTCTTCCAGTGAACATTTCATAGGGAGTTTTTCCAATCCTCGGGTTGAAGCATCTGTTACGAATGTATCCTGAAGCTTTCGCAGCATAAGTCCATAGAGTCTTAGGTACCTTTGCTTCCAACAATAAGCATCTAGCCATTTCAAAAATAGACCTCCAAGCTCGCTCCGCTTTACCGTTTTGATGTGAATATGGAGCAGAAAATATATGCTTCATGTGATTTTTAATCATTAGAGTTTTAAATTCAGTGGAAGTGAATTCGCCACCATTGTCAGACCTTAGTCGTGTGACAGATCCATATGGAGCAGAATTTGCCAAGAATTTTTCTGTATCTGCCAAAGTATCACTCTTAGATCTCAAAAAATAAATAATTATCATACCAGAGAAGAAATCTACAAAGGAAATGGCATACTTAAAACCTTCTCTTGCAGTAGGGTCTACAGGACCTGCTAAATCACAGTGTACAAGTTCTAAATTGGTTGTAGCTCGCTGCTCAGGTTCTCTACTTCTATACTGAGACATTTTACCTGAAACGCATACATTACAATCAAAATTATTTTTATCTGTAATGTTCATACCATCAACAACATATTATAATTTAAGTATATCTTTCACAGTACAATGACCTAAAATTTTATGCCATTCCTCATTAGTATGACTGCTGCTTTTCTGTGAGTTCACATTATTCAGATAATACAATTTGCCATGTTTATTAATATCAAACACTGTACCATCTGAGGCCTTTAATTCTGCAGAATTTGGGGTAAAGTTTACTGATGCACCTTTCTCTGTGGCTGCTAAAACAGAAAATATATTCTGTTTATAGGAAGGAACACATGGTGGATTTTTGAGTAGAACTTTATGACTATTACCATTATCATCATTAATTTCAACTCTCGCATCACCTCTACCTGATACAATACCATTTTGCCTACTACCATTTGGGATTTATCACTTATGATATGTGACGTCGCTCCACAGTCAACTAACAGGCATTGTGCATTTACATCACTACTTATATTATTTTAAACAGAACTGACACTAGCTCTAAATGCAAGTGAATGGCTATCTTCTTCACTGTTAGTTACAGACTTTACTGAATTATTTCTGCGGCAATAATTTGTATCATGAGTCGGGGATTGCAGTTGTCACACCACCTACTAGGTTTTGCTTCATTAGGATTATATTTGTCTTTACTTCTGCACTCAAATTTTCTGTGTCCTAATTTTCCACAGGAAAAGCATTTAATATTCATATTTTTTTAATTTTGAATTCATCACATATCTGCATTCTCACCTTTTTGTTGTTGACACTTTTCAGTTTCTTCAAAACTTCTTAATGCTACTATAAATTCAGAGAAACTAACAGCTTTTTTTCTGCGTCACAACAGTAGAAAATGTCTTAAATTCTAAAGGTAATCCTTTTGATAACATTGCTACAAGTAAACTGTCACTGATGGTTTCACCTGCTAGCTTCATTGAAGCTGCTGCCGTTTCGGCCCGTATCACGTAGTCGGTAATGGCCTCGTCATTAGATTTCTTGAGTGACGTCAGTTCTGTATACAAAGCAATAATTCTTGGCTTGCTGCTGCCTAGATAATGTTCACGGAGAATCTTTAATGGCTTCCTACCGTCATCTTTGGCATCTCGGGTGATAAGGGAAAGACTTCTATCGTCGAGATACTGCCCTAGTTCTGCAAACACTTGAGTGTTCTTCTCTGTCTTGGCTGCACCGTGTCCATCTTGATTAACGACATCGAGAAGTTTTTGACGTTTTAAATGGCCTAAGAACTTCACTTCCCACAACTCATACTTGCTTTCATCACCATCCAACACTAACCTGTGCCTGGGCCCATATACTGTTGATATTACAGTGTTCATTTTGGTGGATAACAACGAAATATGATACGAGAAGCTCAGAAAATGACACAAGCGCTGTTGCTCTTTTTAATATATTTTGCGAATTGTTCGTAAAAACAAAATAGACATAACATGTGTAGCAAAGTGGCGCTTTATTACACAACTCACAGAAAACATAATAGAATATATTCACATACAGTAAAAGTCCAAAAATCCGGATGCCAGGAATCCGGACCACCCGAGAATCCGGACTTTTCGAAAACTCAAACTTTTTAAATTTAGCGGTCTTTTGTGGGTTACGTGAATGAATGGAGTTGCTTTAAAAAATTAATTTACATAATTCTAATAATATAAGTAATTGTATATTACAGGTAGCTAATTTTGTTAGTTTGTAATTAGCTTGAACTTAATGTAAAATTTGAGGCACTATAAATCTTTTGTGTGTAGGTGTGCATGAGTGAATGCCACAGCTGCACAGCGACAACAAACGACCACGCAATCGCCACTTTAAAACAAGCAATCAAACTGTGACAAGTATGTAATTTTGAGTCCTACTCTTTCCATGTACAGAGTACAGGCCCATAATAATGGCCCCTAAAGTAGATAAACTTCAATGTGTGAAGAGAAAGAAGAACACATTGAAATTGAGTGACAAACTTGAAATAATTAAGAAACTAGAACGTGGTGTGAGCAATGCTGTTCTAATGGAACATACGACATTGGCAAGTCTACAATTTATGATATAAAAAAGGCAAAGAATAAAATTCTAGAATTCACAGCTTCTTCTGAGCCTTACATTAAAATTGCTGAAAAAAAAAGTTTACATTGGCCCAAATTAGAAAATCTTGATAAAGTGTTGCACGAATGGTTTTTGTTAAAACGATCAGAAGGTATGGCAATTTCTGGGCCGATACTTATTGCCAAAGCAAAGTCTTTTAAGGAGCAAATGAACATCGAATCAGAGTGCACATTTAGTGATGGATGGCTTAGGAATTTCAAGACTCGTCATGGTATTAGACAGTTTGTTTACATTTTTGTCTAGTGTTGACTTTGTTTCTTTAAAACTGCTCGTTTTGATAAATGAAGCATGCTTTATTTGCTAATGAATAAACTATCAAAATGTACCTGTTCATCTCTTCTTTATTCCTCCTTAAATTTCAATTTTAAAAGTACTGCCTGAGAATCCGTTAAATCCGAAAATCCGGACCTACCCAATCCCCAAGCAGTCCGGATTTTTGGACTTCTACTGTACATTCCACATCAATTAATTAGTAATACATACTAATCAATTAATTACTAATAATGAAAAGTTAAATACTAACTATAATCAAATATGAATTACAAGTAAATATGGGGTAACCTAGTTTATATCTAACACTTACGACCACCCGGACATACGACCGCCCCAGTCGTAACAAAAAAATTTGAAATTACTGTACGTATTTTCGAGTCCTGACGTTAGTGATTGCGCTGTGTACTGAAAAATTATTTGTTTGTAATTCCCTTTAAAATGGCTGGCATGCTTAAAAGTGAGAGTTTTGGTGCCGAGAAGAAAAAGACACCCATTTTAGATTTTCTATGTATTATCTTCGTATTTCCGACTTAGACCAATTTGACTTAGGACCTGGATTTGGGTCCCTCACCCCGTCATAAGTCGAGGAGTGGCTGTACTGTACACAGAAAAGTATTGATAAAACTTATTTAAATTATCAGATTTTTCTCTTAAGTTAAACTGCATCTTGTCACCTTGTTATAAACATTAAAAAGGTTCTGTCAGAATATTCTTAACTTAACCATAATAATGGATGCCCCTCGTGTGAGGAGGATGGCTGGCCCAAGGGCCACCTAGGCGGTAATTTGTTTAAGGTGTAGAAGCTCTCGTCAGCACAACAACCACACCCTAAGTTAACCAGCTGCATGACCCAGTGTCAAGGAATAGTCCGAGAAGACCGGACAACTCGCCAACTGCATTGGCTAACCATTACCCCGGAATATGATCCGCAACTCGATTAACATCCAAGTTCCCAGTTACTGCTGAATAGACTGAGGCAAATGGCGTAAAGAAACTTGCCCATAGTTTCACCCTGCCCGGGTACACTCGCTTGCAAGGCAATCATGCTGATCATTACACCAGAGGTGTAACAAATGAGGTTTTCTTTCCCTTTACAGTATTTTCTGTTATATATTTACCCTCTTTATTTCTCTTCTTTATTCTTTACATCTTACTCTTACTATTGCATAGAGAATGTGGTGGAAGAGGAGAAATGTGAGGGAGGTGGGGGTTGCCTGTGATCAGTCCCCCACCAGAGGGTCAGCCTAGTGTAGTAACTGAGAGGAGGGGAGACTAAGAAAACGGATGATAACTGTGCAATAGGGCTAATAAGTGATAGTTTAGTTGTTACTCATAGCTCACTGTATCACTAACACCAAGATCTTTAAAATCAACTTTACTCAGTAAGGGGAGAGATGAATGGATGACGGGTTTTCATTTATTAACCTTACTTAGAATGGACTATTACACTTTCAAACAACCTACACTCCTAGCTAGTTAAACAGGGTCACATGGTTCACAATACATTTTGCAAAATGGATAATTAACTTAAGTGCACTTCTTAATTATTATTACTCTGCTCCAACCTACACTTTCCTTTTGAGCTAATTTTCAGCCATTCAGCTCAATTGTTTCTATGACATCACACTTGCAGGTCAAGGTGATTGGCTAAGGTGTAGGCACCCAGGCAGGCACTTGATCTACCTGGCACAGCTTGGTATAGTACTTCTCTACCTGGCTTTTTAACGGAAATCTTGTCTAAGCTGAATTCTCATACATAATTTTTCTTAAACATGACATAATGTACTCTAAAAACATGGCACTGTTTCAAAACTAATGATTAGTTTGACTATAATTACAATTCCCATGAATACAAAAACAAAAAAATCATTAGCTCCAGTATAAAATAGGGCTGACACCCCGGCTGAACGTCATATAAATGCTTCCAGTACTCGATTAATATTGTCAGAAATAATTAAAAAAAGATGACATCAGGCCTCTAGAATAATGTAACCTTCAGTCATGAAGTGTAGTGGTATGTAACCCACAAATTATGTCACAATCAACAGAAGTTTCAGGATTAATAGTGCATGTTGTGTATCGGTCTGGACCATCTCTGTCTCACTGTAAACCACCTGTACGTGGGCTGGCCCAGTGATACTAACCTTTCTGACTTAACACTGGTATTACAGTACGGTACTAAACTTTAACCACTTCAGCTATATTTAGTGACTAAAAGTTCCTAAAATGATTTAATATTAACAAATTACTAAGAAATTTTATTAGTCCTTATTTGGATTTTCTCTTAGATAATAGACTAACTAATTGTACCCAACAACTCGATTGTCAACCTCCAATCACCATTGTAAGAGGAATTTTATTTAATATTGAAAGAAATTTTAAGAATTTTTCTAGATTGTCTTGAGATTAATAAAGATGTTACAGCTTTCTTGATTTTGGTCTTCTCTCAGATCAAATTTCGGAGGCTCTTCACACACAAATTACTTTACTGAGTGAGCTTGAGACGTTGATGGAACCACGATCCCATCAGCTGAATTCCACCATCAGTCTGCTTGGTGAACTACACAACACAGCTCAGCATATTCATCAGTAAGTGTTAATTCTTTCAGTGTTTCTATATGGCATCACAAAAATTGTGACCAAGTCCCAGGCTGGTGATCTGACTTTCTGCCTCATTTTCACACAATTGCAGAGTCTCAATTGTTTCTCCTACATTGACAACATACATATACAGTGGTCCCTCGGTTAATGAACAGTTCGATTAACGAAATTTCGGTTAACGAATTACCTCCCATAAGGATCTTCAATTCGGTTAACGAACAAAACTTCGATTAACGAAATCCTTACGACAAACATGTTTTGTTGTGAGCATCAGCTGATGGGCTAGTCTGCCAATTCAGTAATCTTTTCTATGTTTACATTCGTTTCCAGTGGAGTAAATATCAAGAAAGTTGTGCTCATTAATATTTTTGCATTTTTATATTAAAATTATTAGTCATTTTAAAATTTAGTTAGCATATTGATAATATATGCAGTACAGGGAACTAGTTTTTTGTGCGCCAATTAGCCGCTTGATTCACCCACCAGGCGTCAGTCTGGCTTTGTTTACAGTGGAGAGAACATCGATTTTGTTGGTGTCTTGAATATTTTTGCATTTTTACATTAAAATTGTTGGACATTCTGAACTTTAGTTAACATATTGATAGTATATAGTGCAGTGTTGATTTAAATAAAATAATCTTGAATTACACCTAGTACTTAAGATTTTATTGGTGAAATGACGGCATCAAGCATGGGTCCCCTGAAAGGTGATTTCTCCTCCATCCCCACTTCCTTCTCTTCTCTCTTCTTCTCCATCGTCACTTCTAATTTCCATCATCATCATCAACCAGGAACTTTCTACATACACACCTCAAAGTAAGATTACTTTACTGGATTTTTTTTTTTACTTTGTATGTACTTTTCTGTGAGCTGGAACCAATTACCCAATATCCCATTGGCGCAATGGATTCGGTTAACAAAATATTTGGTTAACGAACGACTCTGTGGAACGAATTGTGTTCGTTAACCGAGGGACCATTGTATTGTTTTTCACTCTTGATTTTTCTTATTTTGTATTTATTTATGGTTCTTTAATATTATTATTATTATTATTTTATTATTATTATCATTATTATTATTATTTTATTATTATTATTATTATCATTATTATTATTATTATAATAATAATACAGGTAGTAATAATAATAATAATAATAATAATAATAATAATAATAATATTTTCGCCACCCCAGGCCCTGATTTGGGTCAGTGACCCGTGCCTTGGTGGGCTAATCCCCTTTATAAAAAAAAGATGCCTCTTAAATTAATTTTTTTATAAACAATCATTTGGTTAAAATTTGCAGTTATTCTCTATGTACAGTCAATCTTCCCAATACAGGACTAATTGTATAAGTCCCTTATTAGGAAGATTCCTTTATGGAAAGGTTTCTTTTTTCCCCAATTCCTGACAATCAAAATGCACATCTTACGTAGTAATAAATATAGTATTGTACAGCACTGTACCGTATAGAGAAATTCAACATACCTAAATTATTTCTTCTGAGTGAATTGTATTAATACTGTACATATATATTATACATGTATCCTTGATAATTGTGGGACCTGATAATCACTGATCTGGCTTAGTATGGTATCCTCATTTACAACTATGTGTACGCTTATCACTGATTGATTTTGGTCATCGCGGAATTATCATGGGACAGTGGCCGGTCCGCAAGAGCAACAGCAGTAGTAACGAATGCCAAGAGATGGCAATACGGCTCTTGGCCCCAGCTTCCAGTGACAGTTGACAGCATTTGTTTCCCCCCACTCTTTGGTTGGTGTTTGAAGATGGTTTCTTGCTCTGTGCTTGTTTTTGGTGCAATTTTTGTATCTTTTACTTACCCGCCACCGGGGCACCTGTGAAAAACAAGACTGTTAAGGTTCCTGATCCAGCCGAGCGATGAAGACGTGTGTATTTTCTGGTTGAATCTTCCGATGTTCCTGACAAGGATAAGCATGTGCTTGGCAACACACCCATTGTGTGTTACCACTTCCTTCCACTCCCTCTCTTATCACCCACACCTTTCTGCTTTCTCACTCCATAATATAAAACGTATGTAACGCAATATGGAAGGAATACGATGTTGTTCATTTATACTTACACTCAATTTTGTGGTAGACATCAGCTGTTCAAATGTGTCTGGCAGCGCTGCAGCCAGTGTTACCAAACAAACCGATTAATGCATCATCTCCGCACTACTTACCACAGTCTTCCCCTCCACCACCAGCTCCAAACTCCATGATCACCACCACCACCATAATTCAGTGATGGATTTCCTTAAGCCAGAGCAGATCAGCATGGTATCCACTGCCTCTCACCCACTGCATCTCACCAACACTCTGCCTCTCTCACTCATTCTACTATGATTGTCTTTCATGATACAATATTGTACAGTACAGTGAACCCTCGCCCAACTCTGGTTTGTCTAACACGATTTTGACCATACACGTTTAAATATGTGACCAAATAATTTACCCAACAGGGAAAATTTGAATACAGTATAAGCGGGTTAACAACGCTCCGCTTCTATCTTCCGCCCTCCACTCTCCTCCCTCCTCCGCTCTGCATCGGCTACACTCCAATTGGAGATGCCCGCCAGTCTCGCTTACTTGCCAGTACCGTCAACATTGAGAAAGCACATGGTATGTATGCTCATGTTGTGAAAACTGAGGGGGCAGGGAGTGATGCTGCGACTGTGATTTTCAAGCAAGCGAAGGTGGTTTGAAAATTTTAAACGCTCTTTGCTTTACGAAATGTGAAGCTTTAGGGAGAGACTGGATCAGTAGAGAAAGAGGCTGCAGAGAAATTCAAGCCCATGCTGCTTGAATTTATAAAGGACAAAAGATATGCCCCCAGAGCAAGTGTTTAACGCTGGTGACACTGGCCTCTTTTTAAATAAATGCATGAGTAAGGGAACCTACATTACAAAAATCCAAAAAGTTGCTCCAGGGTTTAAAGCTTTCAAAGACAGGTTGACATTGTTATTTTGTGGTAATGCAGCTGGTGGTTTTAAGTGTAAACCCATGCCTCTGTACTGTTCAGAAAATCCCCGGGCATTAAAAGAAAAAAATAAGCTTCGGTTGCATGTTGCTTGGAAGTTCAATAAAAAGGCCTGGTTGACTAAGGTGCTCTTTAATGATTGGTTGCAGCATCATTTTGTGCATGAGGTCAAAGAATATCTCATGAAGTAGAATTTTGACTCAGAGGTGTTGCTATTGCTGGATAATGCCCCAGGCCATGATGCAGAAATGCTTCAGTTCACACATACCAATATGGAAGTTATGTTCTTGCTCCCCCAATACCATTTCAATTCTGCAACCAATGGGTCTAGGCATCATCAAGACATTTAAGTCATATTAGACGAGAAATGTCTATAGGTGAGCAACTGAAGCAATAGATGCTGGTGTATATGAAACACTGATGGAATTCTGGAAGGCATTTAACATCAAAGACTGTCTTGACTTTATAAAAATGTCTTGGGATGAAGTGAAGCTTTTCACCATGAACACTTGCTGGCACCAACTTAAGACCTGAAATTATTCACGATTTCAGGGGATTTCCAATGGTTGACAAGGAAATTGCAGAAATTGTGAAAATTGCAAAGGAAATTGGAGGTGAGGGTTTTGATGAAATGCAGAAAGAGGAGGTGAATGAACTGATAAACTCATATTTTCACGAACCAACAAATGAGGAGCTTGAAGATCTTCTAGCATATGACAGTAAATGTGATGGTGATGATGATGATGATGTGGTGATGATGATGTGGTGATGATGATGATGTGGTGATGATGATGATGAATTGGAACCTGTAAAACCTAAATTAACAATTAAGGCAACCTCTAAACTAATCCTGAAAGCAAATGAACTTTGTGACATGTGTTTCGACATAGATCCAATAATGGAGAGAAGATTAAAGTTCAAAAGGGCCCTTAATGATATTTGTGTGTCATACAGAGAAATTATGAAAGATTTGAATAGAAAATAACAAACTTCTTCTCAAGGCTGAGGTCACCCCAACTGTCAACATCATCTGCCAAACCAGAACTCTATGAACCCTAACCATCACCATTCTCTGCCGATCTGAAACCTGAAGCCGATGATCCTGATGATCCAATGGCTTAAAAAATAAAAACCCTTCCAATTTCATCATAATCAAAGTTGACCAAATTTTGGTACGACTGAGGCAGGTCGCGTAAGTGCGGTTGGTCGTAAGTCGGGGAGGAGCTGTACTTAGATGAGCAAAAACTTCAAGAGAAATACTGTACTTGAAATGTACAGAAAAAGAAAAATGAGTTACTTTGGTCATATAATTAAGGATGAGGGAATAATAACAGAAATATTAATGGACCAAGTTGAGGATAGGAGAGCCAGGGGAGGGCAGAGACTGGGATAGATGATTTAAATTAAAAACTGGGTCCCCAGGAAGATACAAAAACTTAGAGGATTGGGAAAAACAGCCCAAGAACGTTTACAGTGGACTGTGGTCGCCAACCCTCAGATATGAGGTTGGTACTCTGATTGATTGATTGAATGCTATTGGTGTAACCCTTTCTTCACATAGATGTTCATTTTACATGAGGATAATTATCTGATGCATTCTTCAATCAAATTGCAGGTGTGAAAACGAGGTGCAACAAGCAGCTAGACTTGCAGTACAAGAAGCATCTTTGCTTATTGGTGCTAAGCAGATGAAAGTCTCGGCTTGCAAAACTCAGGAAGTTGCGGCACTGTCTTTAACTTCAAAATCAGATTGATGAAAAGTACTGTAATACTGTATCATGGAACATGTAACTGTATTTCACATTTCATAAATGAGAAGATATACTGTATTGTGTCACCTAATGCAATTTCTACTTTTTAATATTTTATTTTTATTAGTACATACTGTGTATTGATACAGCTTCATATTTATATTTTAGTAAAATTATTACAGTTACATTTTTATGGAAAAATTGTCTATATTCTGATGTATTTTAACATGACAGGAAACTTTTAATTGTTGGTAAATACTAGCATTGCAACTGTTGCTCCTGCTGTTGACATTAGAATAATTTCATCTCAGATAAAAAGGGTTGCTATAATTTCTGCATTTAGCATTAAGGTGACTAGATATATGCTTACATATAAATCTACCAATGGTAGAGAGAAAGGATCCTTGTTGCTGGAATTTTATAATTTTGTTCTTATTTTACAAAGCAGTTACCTGAAGCAATTGATGCTGCCTTTGTACAACTATACAAAAGATATGGATGCATAAATGAGTGCAACTACAGTGAACCCTCTAAGATTCAGACAAAATTTGGGGGTTTTGGGGGCTAAGAAGCCTCCCTAAGAAGCGCTCCCAAAACAGAGCAAAGATCATCTTAAGCCCGTGTAACTAAGATGTCAGCGCGCGGGACACAGGTGCTCAAGGCGGGAATCATAAACCGAGTTGTCAATACTATTGATTGTGGAAATATTATTTCATTCACTCTAGTAATACAGTAATACAATGTTTCTTATTTTGTTATGATAGTTAAATGCATTATTTTTATAATTTGTTTATCACTTTGCCCATCACCATTTTCAAATTTGACTAAAAGATATGCATTTCTCCCATACATGTTTCGATCGAATGCCTGGCAATGGGAGTGAGTGAGTGAGCGAGCGAGCGAGCGAGCGAGCGAGCGCTAGTTAGTGTTGTCTGCAGTTATAACTCTCCTCGCTCCTTGCCATACTTCACTGGATTTTCTGTTATTATTAGTGTTTACTGATTTAATAGTGATTAATCATGGCAATGTAGCCAGATTAGAATTGTCACTGCAACCACCAGGCTACTGGGCCAAGCTGTGAGGTGTTATGGTTGTTTTTCAACTTGTATTTTCCGGTAGATATCCATACCTTTCTTCAATTATTTTTACTCAGTTACATGCACACACCATCCTACATACATATTGTGAAAAAAAGTAAATGAAATAATTGTCCTAAGGGCAAACACATAAAGGGAATATCCATTTCCTTGCACATGAGTTAGCTGGTTCAGTGAGGGAGTGGGAAGAGAGCACCGAGTGTAGAAGGTGGGGAACGTTGCAGGGAATTGGCATCCCAGCTGGTCTCTATTGCTATGATGAAGCAGGGAGTGTATACGAATGCCAACTGTATTAAACATTCATTTGGCTTTTATTTACTGATTTGGCAATACAATATTTTTTATATCCTATTTATTTGTATTTATTCCTCACATTTCCTGGAACTGTATGTATTATTTTAAGAAAACTATGGCTAGAGGAGGAAAATACACATAGAGGAGGAAAATACACAAAAGTATTTTCCTAAATACTCCCTGCTAAAATGGGGAGTGCATCGTATATGCTACACCACGCTTGGTCACTAGATGGCGCGCAGTACGCTCTTCGTTCCTTGCTACACCACACATCAACGCTTGGTCACTAGATGGCGCGCAGTACGCTCTTCGTTCCTTGCTACACCACACATCAACGCTTGGTCACTAGATGGCGCGCAGTACGCTCTTCGTTCCTTGCTACACCACACATCAACGCTTGGTCACTAGATGGCGCGCAGTACGCTCTTCGTTCCTTGCTACACCACACATCAACGCTTGGTCACTAGATGGCGCGCAGTACGCTCTTCGTTCCTTGCTACACCACACATCAACGCTTGGTCACTAGATGGCGCGCAGTACGCTCTTCGTTCCTTGCTACACCACACATCAATAGTTTGTCTCGACGTAAACATAGCTGCTGTGCCGCCCTTCTCGAATGTAGCCTTTTTACCAAGTTTTCTGCAAATTTGCCTTTGACTATGGCTATGTTGCGGTCAAGAATGGTAATAACTTACTTTATCGCACGAAAATTTTATTATAGTAAGGTTTGTTGTTAGGAATAGCGGTTTGTTATTATCCTTGGTGTAGGATACAACCTCTTACATCTAATACAACAGTTGCTCGAGGTTAAGAATCTAGGATTAAACTTTTTATACAGTTATTTTACTGTATTTGCCACTTACCTCATTAAAGAATAAATTATAAACATCGCAATAGTGTTTAAAAGGGCAAGGGAATTGTTGACAAGATCCTCTGTTGAGCAAATGGCTTTAGTGTTTGGCAGTGGATATTTTGCCGTATATTTAAGTTCCTACTAATGCTAGTTTATTTTGCTGTGAGTTGAACGTTGTGTAGCTATAAATATGCCTAATCAGAATTTGTTTGATTTTGTTAATTTTTCCACAAATGTTCTAATTAATGTCAATTTATAGAAGTGCACCATTCTTACGGTCTTTTTATGAGTGCACCGTTCTATCTCACGGTGTTAGAAATATGTTTTTCTGAATGTTTAAACAATTCTGAGACATTTTACTTCTATGATATTTGTAATACCGAAGGAAATATAACCTACCATTTTTTCTGTGTAAAAAACCACAGAAAATCTAAAAAAAAAAAAACCTAACCTAACCTGACCTAACCTAACCAACCAAAGAAACCTACCTAACTGTACCTAACTTCATAGCCGGGGGGCAGACCCCTCCGTCATATTAAACAGAAAGTACTTCACCAATCAGAGCGCACTCACGGTAAAATAGCATTAGTCGGAATTTAGCCGGTGACGGCAAAATATCCACAACGTTAGTGTTTACCACTACATCAGCACTGTAAATTTGCATGATGAACCAATGTGAACAAATAACAGTTTTATTGAATAAACTATCGGTTAGTAATTGACGACTTACCTGCAGGCAAGTTATTTATTTTAATGTTTATTTTCTTACTCTATTATCATTAGTGAGTTCTGATATGATAATCTATTTCTTATGCAAATGCTTTATTTGGTAAATATTTAGGTGCCTAAGGTGCGCACTACTTTGTCATGTCGGCGGTAATGCGGTGGTTTTTTGTGTTAAAGTTAGGTTGGTTTGGGTTAAAAAAAAACACATTTACACAAACTCTGACAGTGTCCTCTATAAAACGGTTTTATGTTAAGGTTAGGTAAAGGTTAAGTTTGAGTTGGGTTAAAAAAAATCCACAAACTACTACAGTGTCCTCTATAGATCACAATGAAATTGCGGCATTTTTATAATTCATTGCTGGTTGGTCAGTCTTCAATAATAATTAAACTATCTAACCATTTAACGCTGTCAGTTGCCACGGGACTTTCAGAACGAGAGGAAGAGCTTATGGAAACTCGTGTAAAAATGACATATATTACGCTATTTACATTCACAGAGCAAGTTTTCATGTCCAAATATCTCCAATTACTTCACGCACAACTCGGCGGCTATCTTGTACCCCACGTTTCCTTGTGTATACCAGGCCTGGAGTTCCTGGTTCTCCGTGCTGTCCGATTCAGGCGGTGGCTCGCGCTGACCATCACCACCACCACATATATTTGACTCGGTTGCCAATTAATCCTAATACATTACATTAAAAGTTTTACACCTTATACTCTATAAAACAGAATATGGCTCTTATATTGTTTTAACAACTAAAACTAAATAACACAGATAAAAAAAAACACATCGCAAATCAAAACATTAGAAAACTTAGGTATATAAGCAAACAGGCCGTGTACCACCCTCATTGACATTGGTCGTTCTCGCGTATCACCTAATTAGCCAATCATAGACAGCGGTGTGGGCCGACATGTGACAAACGCATATAATGAAAGTTTGAACGAGTAAAGTAAAAATAAGTGTTGACTCACAATGATCATGCACACAGTAACGATGTGGTGTGCTTGCCCCAGTCCACTGACTTAGTGTGATACCTGCCTGAGTTGGATGGGAGAAGGGCCTTGTTCTTTTTGACCCTGCAGATTCTCACACATTCTCATACATGTACATGATATTTCTGGAGGAGGCTTAGTTAGCCTGACCCTGTGTCAAATGGTTGTATCAGTTGAGGTGGCTGCACCTTATATTAACTTTATAATTAAAATTTTGTTTCTATGTGTTCCGTTGTTTAACCCAAGTTTCTTTTCCAATTTTTTCTCAGACAGATTCTATAATATTTTCAGGTAAATTGTACTAATTGTTAACTACAGTATTTTACTACAAAAACAAATTTTTTTTATGTTTATCCTTGTCCTGTCCTTAAAAATTTAGTTTGAATGCCTTTTAATTATTCTTTCCTCACTCAGGTGGATAAAACTCTCACAGGTCTCAATATCATATACGTGGGTATTTAATGTAATAGCTTGCGTAATTGGATCACAGTACCGCTGTTAAGTATTGTATATAATACAGCTTATATTGTTGACTAATTTTAAGCCTCACCGAGATTATTTTTGTCTTTAGTATATTTTTAATCAGTAGCTACTGTAGTACAGTATTCTAGTTCCCCGTCCGATTATGCCTCATTTATTTTTAATTTTTCAACAATTAGAAGTGAACGTTAGATTGGGTTAAATTAGGTATAGTTTCTTTTAAAGTTATATTACATTATAGATTACAATACTGGAGACCTCAGGTGTTATATTTGTGGTGTTATTTGCTGTGATAAAATTGTTGGATTAATAAAATTCAGACAGATTTGCACTGCGAGGGGGCTAGCTTATTGGGCAAGACGAAGCACCAAAATGTTTACAGCACCCAACAGGGAAGCATGTAGATTTCATGCTTGCATTCTTGACTTATGCGATCAAGGATGCAAGTGCCTGAAGGGCCATGGATTATGTCGGCAGGTTATTGATTGATTGTGGTAATTAGCTACAACCCTGGCAATGCAACAGCTTAGGTCCCATGTTGCCAAATTAAAATAAAATGTTTAAAAAACTAAAATAAAATAATGCAAGGTAAAAACATTAGTAATGATTAACATAGAGCTTTCATAAAAAAATCTAAACGTTAATAGATAAAACTCGAAGCTTGTGTAGAAGGCCGGCTTCCCCCACGAAGGAGAGGAAGTCCCATCCCACACTACTCATTCCCTCCCCCCTCTGGCACTGGGAGAGGTGCTTATGAAAGGGGTGAGGATAAGTAATGTTTCTTGTTTGACAATCACAGTTTTTGATGATACATATTGCTTATTGTTGTGTTATGTTGAGCAACTGTCATAATAGAAGTAGGGTGTAATTGACTGATATTAGGGGTCTCTACTAAGTTTCTGCTGACTTTTTTCATTCTATCTACGTGTACTATGTCTGTGAAGATTGTTATTGGCTCAACTACTTGAAATTGGAATTTGCTTACATGTTCTTGCACTTTAATCAGGTATGGACCTGTGAATTTAGGCGAAAGTTTTGATATGCATTCCGATGCCTTTATCATTACTGCGTCTCCTATTTCTAGAGTTACAGGCTTAGCGTTTTTATGTTGCTTGCAGATCATTTCAGCACGTGAGGCTGCTAAATGTTTTCGTACTTTCCCATGGATGCTTGTGAAAACATTGATTTGCTTCTTGGCATAGTCACCCGCGTTGTACATAGATTGTGGGGTTCCTGCTATAGTTGATCATAGGGCAAGTATTTATCAGTACCATAAATTATGTAGTATGGCGATTTGCCTGTAAAGCTATTTATAGATTCATTGATGGATGCTGCTACTTGTGGAAGCCAGTCCTCCCAGGAATTGTGAATCCGATTCACCACGTGTCGGAAAATCTAAAAAAAATTACGATTTGTACGCACGACCAACCCTTTTGAGGATGGATGGTAGGCAGTTGTGAAGGTTTGTGTGTTGTTGTATTGTTGACATACAGTGATATTTTCATTAGCCGGAACAATTGGTGCCGAGCACTTCCGGGAATGAGAGATTTCCTGGTAGCGAGATGACTCTCAAAGCCTGAAAAAAGTCCCTCATCCCCGGAATTTTTTGGGTAACGGAAAAATTTTCCTGAAATTTCCAGAAATTGCCCATTACATCGTCTGTCAAACCTTGAAAACTATCCCCATCCCTGAAATTTTCTGGGTAGCAGAAAAATATTCTCGGAAGCTCCTGAAATTGTCCATTACATAGTCTCTCGAACCTGGAAAAATATCCCCCTCTCTGAAATTTTCTGGGTACCGGAAATGCGCCTGATTTTCACCTCTCACACCCGGAAAAAACTCCCCCATCCCTGGAATTTTCCAAGTATTGGTAAAATTTTCTCTGAGTTTTCCGGAAAATGTCCCCCTCGGAAAATCTTTCCCAAAGCCGGAATTTTCCGGAAAATTCTGACTGGGAACGATTTTCCGAGAAAATTTCAATTCCGGCTATCAGAGAGTTCCGTGTTTGAGGGATTCCGGCTAATGGAGATATTAATGTATTGCTGTTAAGAGTTGATTCTTAAATTCTACCCTGTTATCTGAGTGTATCACTTTAGGTGTAGAAAAAGAACAGATGAGATGAGTGACTAACACATGGGCCACTGCTTCGGCAGACTTATTCTGCAATGGTGCTAGTACCACAAATCTGGAGAAGTGGTCAATGCACACAAGTATGTAAGTAGAGCCTTGGTGGCTTTTTGGCAGTTGTTATAAATTGATCGCAATTGTATCCCATGGACATTCAGGTGTCTCGTGTTCTAAAATTGGAGCGGGATCCATCGTTGTTCCCTTGTTTTTTACACAAGATAAACACTTAGCAATGTGATGCTTGATGGCGATCCTCATAGTTTTCCAATAATATTTTCGTCTAATTGCTGTTAGATATCTGTCTCGCCCCAGATGCCCAGCATGGGGTGCATCATGGAAGAGGGTGAGGATGTTTTCCTTTAGTGATGTAGGAATAACAATTCGAGAGATTGACTCTTGTTGTGTTCTTATTGAGCGATACAGTATGTCGTGCCGTAGCTCAAACTGTGAGAGTGGTAGAGGTAGTTTTGGCAAATTTACCTCATCTCCCAATTCTAAGGCATAGATTACCTTGGACCAAGTGGATCCTGTAGTTGTTCTGCCCTTAACTGTGATAGGGTGAACGTGGGTAGCGGCGTGACTGCAACTTACTGTATCCCCTGGTGATATTATTGATGAACAACTGGCTGTACTGGAGAGATTTATTGTTCTTCTGTACGACCGTAGCAGTGAAATCGAAAAGGTACCCATGAATGTCTTGGTTGCATACCATCGTACTCTTTGACTACTTATTGTCTTCACTACTAACTTAGTAATACTTATCTTTGTGTGGGACACAGCTAAACTTAAAGGCATGTTCATGGAGTACCGTACACAATATAAGTAAATGCTTGCAAAGAAACATTGATACATAACTCATTCTCTATTGAAACTGCATTTTTTATGTCCTTGGTACTACAATACAGGTAAACAATGCCCAGAAATGTCTCTCCACAAAGAAAGGCTGAGGCATTGAAGGGATTCCACCAACCCAAGTTGCTCTAATATAACGTATGAAGCGAGTTGTATACCAAGGTGACCATATCTGGGGACAATGTTCTAGTCCTATGACCATTCTTCCAGACACCATCTATTGGGGATGGACACATGAAGCTGCAAAGATTTGCCTAGAGCTGGTACTCTGTGGTTGCAAAAGGACATGTTGAGGATGATGCAAGTGTGCAAAAGCAGCGCTTCGGTGTGCTGCTCTCTGTGCAAGTGATGGACAGTGCAGTTAAAAATCTATACATATATCATAATGTGTACACCTTTAAACATTCTTATAGGAAACTTTAGAATTCTGAAGTCTGAGAACATTTGAGTGTTAATTATTGAATTATTTGTAAAAAATAACATCATGAACTTACTAATAAAACAAACAAACAAACACATTTTGGTCTGAAAAAATTATATAGAATAAGATGTTTTTGTAAGGTCACAGTACATAACATCTTCAAATTTCAGTATGTTTGAACCCAAAAATAAGGGAGCTATTGCAGTTGGAAGAACTATTTGACAGGCGCTACCATGATCAGCCGCTAGGGGCACTGCACGCAACCAGGGGATGCTGTTCATTTGGCACTATATCAGAAAATCTTTACTAACCCAAGTAGAATATGTGGCCAAAGTCTCTTAATTCTATACTAAAGTGAATAATCATGCCTACTGTGACTTTTGACGTTCCTTTTAAACATGTACAGTAATCCTTAATTTTCTCCCTGTATCATACCTTCTCTTTTACCTTACCTTCTAATCTCCATAGAAATTATTATTTTCTTGTAGTGATGGCATCAAGGGACAGTGGGAACCCAGGTACTGGTGGTGGAGCATCAGGTGTAACCATTCATCAGCAACAGAACCCCCAGGCTTCAAGTATGACAGCTGCAGTGGCAGCAAGTGGAGGAGGAGGGGTGCCTATAGGATCAGTAACTGCTGGTGGCTCCCAAGCAGCAGCAGCAGCAGCAGCAGCAGCGGCGGCGGCGGCGGCAGCAGCAACAGCAGCAGCGACAGCAGCAGCAGGAGGAGGAGGTGGAGGAGGAGGAGGAGGAGGAGAGGCAGCTGGAAGAGTAAGCAATGTTCAGCGTATCCAGCAAAAAAAGGCACAAGTGAGAGCTTGGCCACGTGACAAAAAGCTGGAAAAGCTAGCCATATATTCTTCATGTAGGGTGAGTTTTTATTTGTATTTATTCATAATACACAGTTTTTATGTGATTAATATTGTGATTCTACATAGAAAGTTAAGTGAATGGAAGAAAATGACATTAATAGCAGTACAGAATAAGAATACAATACAGTACAGTATGCTGTATGTTAAATAGAGCAGAAGAGTACAATAAAGCATGTCCTTATTTTAGATATTATAAATTTGACTACATTTCATTAGGTTGGCTAATAATCATCATCATTTTTTTTACTTGTGCACATGGTGTGACTACCTACAGTTCTAATTGACATGGTTGAAAACCTAAGTGGTAGGATTGGTATTAAATTAGAATAGTTCTAAAATAGCTAATTCAGAAAAAATCCAAACAGTTTTTTCTCCTGACTGCAACCAAAGGCTCTCAAAAGGGCATATTAATAAGCTTCAGTTACTAATGTACAAACAGGAACACTCCACTACAAGTGTTCTGTACGACATTTAACCCTTCAATATGTCTTCAAAGAGACCATGAAGCAGAGACAGTGGTGCTAGTGCTTTCAAGCGTAAGCACAAGTCATTATCTATCCAGGAAAAGGGTGAATTTCCTTGGTCCGGAAATTTCCATGGTCCGGCACCGGTTAGGTCCCGAGGTTGCCGGACTAGAGAGGTACAACCTGTATTAGCTTTTAAACTAACACTACCATCACTTGCTCTCTTACTCATGTTGAATAGGGATGCAAAAATTCTGTAAGAAACCCGAGAAAGTTTTTCTCCAGCTCCTGTTCCAGATGCATGAAAACAGAAGGCGTGCCAACCTCAGAGTGTTGTTTACCACTCATTAGCAAGGCAGCTTCTTTGCACAAGGCGCTCTTCATTTGTTTTACAGTATTTTTTTGTTATAATACATATTGGGATTTAGTTATTATTTATATGAAAATGTAATTTTATTATATTTTTATTATATTTTGGTCGTAAATACGAATGAAATGTGGACGCCAATTGAATTGGGTTCTAAGTTAACTAGGGTTTTAAATATGAAAAGTTGTTGGTCGAACCGTTGTTATTGTAGGCTTTACTGTACCTGAAGTTACTGGGCTTTGTGTGAATTATTAGCAAGAAAATGTGAAAATGCTTAAAGAATGTTAGCTTAAGTTTTTAATGAAAATGTTTGTCTTGATAGGCTGATGAAAGCTGCAAATGCAATGGTTGGAAGAATCCAACACCACCTGCACACCCAGCACGACCTGACACCCCTCAGCCAGCTGCACCTCCATCTCAACCATGCCGTAGCTGTACGCACACACTAGGTAATGCGTTTGAAGGTTTAACAGCTATTTTAATGTTTGCATGTGTGGTCACACTTGGGTTGTTTCTAGAATTTTAGTGTTTATCTTCTCAGGGTTTCCATAAGCCCTGTAAAACCCTGGAAATGTAATTGTTTTGTGAAAAGTTTTATAAAGTGTGAATGCAAGTTTTTTAATATGATGGCTATGGCAACTGGTAGCTACTGTAGGTAAAGATAACGTTTGTGAAGTCAGTAATCCTTGGGAGTCCAGTATGAAGGTGAAGGATACAGTAATTTAATTTACAACTATTTATTTTTAGGTTTAGGTCACAAGTCAGGACCCAGGGGTGTTTCACTCTTCTCATAGATTTAGTGGGTGTATAGAGTGGCTTGACACAGACTCTGTTATAAATTGGGTTTTAGGACTAAACCTCTGTCTTTAGTATGGATAAATTATTGTTTGGGTTGTGGATTGTGGTGGTCTTGTGAATTAGTCCACTGATATCAGTTTTGTAAAGGGTAAATAGGTTTGATAAACCCTGACTCAAATAATTATTAAATTTACTGTATTATCCATTGATCATAATAATCTTTACTAAACACACAGGTGACCATGTGAGCCACCTTGAGTCTGCTGGTGATGATGATTTAGATCGCTTACTTTCCATCGTTGTGGATGTGGAGAACCTCTTCATTTGTGTTCATCGGGAGGAGGATCCAGACACCAAACAGGTCTGTAATCTATACTGAAATGAACAGAGGATTTTTTCAGTTAGCTAAATCAATCACAGAATTTTTCGGTTTTCAGGGCCTGGGGGGCGAATATATAATAAAAATTATAATAATAATAATAATAATTCATAGGTCTAGGTCGTGTTTCTCACTTTTGATTTTTTTTTCATTCTTCTATTTCTTTATTATTATTATTATTATTGTTATTATTGTTATTGTTATTATTATTATTATTATTATTATTATTTTATTATTACAGTACGTACTCCTGCATTATTGTTTTTATTAATTTTATTATTACATTTTATTATTATTATTATTATTATTATTATTATTATTATTATTATTATTATTGTTATTATTATTATTATTATTTTATTATTACAGTACGTACTCCTGCATTATTGTTTTTATTAATTTTATTATTACATTTTATTATTATTATTATTATTATTAATGTTATCATATTATTTTATTTTGGTGTATTTTTATTAAAATTTTTATTTACTATGAATAATTAGTATTATTATAATTATTATTACTACCTGTATTACATTTTCGCCCCCCAGGCCCTGATATGGGTCAGTGATCTATGCCCGGGTGGGCAAATCCCTGTTAAAAAACAAAAAAACAAAATTGCCCCACAAAAATAACTTTCGGTTTTCAGAGCTTTTTGGAATTTCGGATAAAGGGTTGTCAACCTGTATATATATATCATAGATTTTAAGGTAATTAAAAATCAATAAACCTTAGTGATGGTCAGTTCAAAACTGATATTATATTACATATATTTATTTGTCAGTGGCCCAAGGTTAAAAATGCTTTGAAACCTTCGAGCTAGATGTAGGATAGTTATTTAGTGGGTCCCTTATTTTTGACCTGACCTGACCTGACTAGTCACGTCGACCCCTTTCTCTTAAGCTCCTCTACGTGTGTGTTGGTGTGGGGATTAGTGGATGACATCATTATGACCTGACCTCATGTTTAATAAGGTCACCCTGTATATTTTAGCCTCTCTCTGTCCATGTAATCCAGTTGCCTCTGAAGATGTCTTGAATAAAGACGAAAGCTAAGGTACCCCGTTGTTTCCCCGTGTGTTCCTTGATGAATATTCTCAGGTCTGGCGGTAAAGAAGACAAAAACTGTTCCAATATCATGAAGTTAGTTAGACTCAAAGGTTTTCTCAACCTCTGACGCCTCTAGTCATTGTTGAAACAAATGACCCAGATGGATTGTAAACTGCTGGTATGTTTTCCCTGATCTAATCTTCATTCTGCGGAAATCAACACAATAACCATCAGGAGTCGTTAAACCCTCGCAAGAGACGTATAAATCTATACCGGTTTACCACTCGGTAGGCTACCCAACCTTACAGCATAGCTGTCTTGGTCCACACCAAGCAGCTCGGCTACCCGTTCAAACCTAACAAGGTAGGAGGCGATGTCTTCTCCTTCACGATAAACAGGCAAACTGGGTTTAACTACATTATCTTGTATAGGGCCAGAGGATTCTGGTCTACTTTGGGCATTAATCCTAGCTAGTTCTATGTCCTTTTCTGCCTGTAACTTAGCTGATTCTCCTCTCTCTCTCTCTCTCTCTCTCTCTCTCTCTCTCTCTCTCTCTCCAGACCAACCTCAGTACCTGTCAGACCCAGGGCCACCGCTTGACCTTTCAACTCCTCAAAACTAGACATAATGATACAAGAGCCAAAGTCACAAATTAAACAACTTACCCCGCAACTAGCCAAAAGTAACTACTTAGTAGCTCAATCAAACCATTGAATGGTTTGATCCGGCTGGAGGAAACCTTGTTTCGCACCCAGTCCAGTTAAATCACCTCAGGGAAAAGAAACCGCACCAGGTGAATTAACAACAAAATGCTATGACAGCATTCACAGTGCACCCCAACCAACACTAATTAACTTCCCTACCACGAGGGAGAGCAACAAAATACAGAAGGAAGGGCTAAGCACCAAACAACACTTACTTCCGGGCCTCAGACAGCAAGCGGCGCGCACACGGCGATTTGAGAATCGGTTATTGATTAATCTCAATAGAAAGATTTGCAAATAAACATATGAAATGCTGTGTCTTTTATTTTTATATTTATTTAACTTTTTTTTTTATAATTTACTTTGGATTTATTTCAATATTTGAGACAATTAAGATTTTCTTTTTTCTTTTTTCTACTTGAGTAAATTTAACTTTGGATACTTTTACTTCTACTTGAGTAAAATTTTGCTGTACATAAATTTTCCTCTTTAATTTTTGTCAATCCTTTCTCCACAGGTGTATTCTTATCTATTCCGCCGTCTTCGAAAATGTATACTGCAAGTTAGTCCACCAACTGTAGAGGGACCACTTGGTACACCACCATTTGAACGTCCCTCAATTTTCAAGGGTGTCACCAACTTTGTGCTTCACAAATTTAATCATCTCCAACAGAAGGTAAGCCCTTTGAAAACTGTAAAACTTTTTACCTTTCACTGTCAAAGTTGAGAAATACTGTATGATTAAGTCATTATATACAGGTATGGGACCATTTTCTGGCATACTTGGGACCTGGGGATTGCCAGATAGGGTTTTTTTTAGAATTTGGAGTATCAGGCCTAAAATGTACAGTAAACCCTCTGTGACTGGCTGTGAAGACTGTTCAGATCAGTACAGTAAACCCTCGAAGATCTGAACCCAGTAAATCCGGATTTCGGAAGATTCAGACAGAAAATTTGGGGGTTCTGGGCTAAGAAGCCTCCCTAAGAAGCATTCCCAAAACAGGGTGAAGGTAGTTTTAGGCTTTTAAGTTTTTATCTTCATAGACTAAGTTTAGCAGAATATAACTTGCATTGCTGAAATCCTTGCAAGATGGCTTATAATTTGAATATAGACATCATATATTTTGCACAAGGGATAAAAATTTTAGTCCTTTAGTGTAGTACATTTTAGTACAAGTTTTTCAGCTCATAGGTAACCTTCTTCATTTATTTTTACTCATTTACATGCACACTATCCTAAATACTAGTGGCGTACTGTGGTTGCACTGATGAGGCATGCAGAATACCCTCATACTGTATATCTGTTATTAGATCAAATATCAAGTAGGATATGGCCTTTCTCTAAATAAAGGTTGTCAAGCATTATAAACACCTAAGAAACTATACGAAAATTAAATTATCTTACCTCAAATCATTTTGCAGTCAAGAAATATTGACTTATACTCCCTGTATTGAAATTCAGCTCGCCGAGATTTTTTGTGGAATTCTTCCGTAACATTGTAATAAAACTCTTCTCTTTTCACCATCAACTTTTTCAAAAATTATTTTTTAATTGAAATTAAATTTAGATGCGAGTCTTTGTTGTCCTATTTCCTACTGTTTATGTTTGGCTAGTTGCCATTTAATTAAGAATCTAAATTACTGCTTCACTTAATTTCTTAAATTACATCATTGGCATTTGACAAAGTATGTATTATAAATCATCAAATAATGGGATCAAAAATACTTACGGCAAAAGAATATTAAGCCTTCAGTGTGATCTACAGTAATTTAGAAATAAAGTACTAAAAAATTGACTGGGCATCATGCACAACACTGGCCCTCTGTAAAGTTGCCAATGATCTTATTGCTGAACATTTAAATAATTAGTAAATATTCTTATTTGTATGATCCGATTCTTATTTCAAGTAAAACAGAATAACTTTCCCAAGTGAAAAAACTTAACTGAAAGCAGACTGTAGGGTTATTCAGAAATATTAAAACTAATAATGTGGACTAGTTTTGTCCAGCTGACAGAGAGCCACCACCGGTCTACACAGCCTCTTGACAAGTGAATGCAGTTTTCGAAGTGCATGCATTTGTACCCATTACATTTACAGAAACCTTATTAAATAGCCACTCTTATGGAGCAGCAACTCTTAGTAATATACTATCACAGTATAGCATAAGACTTCATGCTTATTAAGGGACGCATGGCGTGTTTGGCGTGGAATTTTACGGAGTCACGGTCGATTTCGTGGAATATTTCAGTAAATTGAGCAAACATAACGGAAAAGCTTGATTTAGCAAATATTTTGATCAACGAACAGGAGTTCTCGAGTTAGTCCATTAAATTGAAAAATACTGTAGTATACTAATAATGTGTTTTATTCTCAGGATTTCCAAATGATGAGGGACTTAGCCAAGATGTTTCTTCATTGTCTTAATCACTGGCGTTTAGAAACTCCTTCTGCAAGACGTGCCCATACCACTCCAGAAGAGAGTTCAGCTTATAAAGTCAATTACACTAGGTGAGTGCTGTACTGAATGATTGAAGATGGTTTTGAAGAAATTCAAAAGTACAAACAACTTGACTTCATTGATTGCCAAAAATTCAGATGATGCTAAATTAAAAATATATTACTATTCTTTATTAAATTACAGGTTGACAACCCTTTATCCGAAAACCGAAAAGCTCTGAAAACCGAAAGGTTTTTTTTTTTTTTTTTGAGGGGTAATAAATCCGGGCACAGAGGTCACTGACCCACATCGGGGCCTGGGGGGTAAAAATGTAATAGTAATAATTATAATAATAATAATAATGATAATACAGTAATAATAATAATTATTCATAGTAAATAAAATTTTTAATAAAAAATACACAAAAATAAAATAAGAATGATAATTCACTGGTCAACAGCCAAAATGGTTCACATATGAGATCATGCTCACATAACTAATTTCATATTGCTGAATTCGAATCTGATATTTGTTTTGTTCTATCAGACCAGGTTTTATAAAAAAATCAATAGGTACAAATATTTAATATTCCATCACGTGTCGTGCAAAAGATGAGATTATCTCATGTGACTGTGCTTTCATGACTAATTTCATATTAATGAATATTAATTGGATGTTTCATTCTACCATCAGACCTACTTTCTTAAAGAATAAAAAAAATAGTAAATATAGTAACATTATCGCGTCATGCAAGATACAATTTTAAACCTATCACAGATAAGCTCATAAAAAATTGTACCAAAAAACATAAGTTCAAATCCTTTATAATGACAAAATATGAAGTTCTAAAAGTGCTTCTGAACTTTACTCTTTCTCTTGTACAGCTTGCTCTCTTCTCGTTGCAGTGTCCAGCAATAGTCGCCCATCATGTTAGGACTGAATTGTCCCTGATATCTGCTCTCCATTATGGCGATATCTTGATGAAATCTTTCGCCGTGTTCATCACTAACGTCTCCAAGGTTACCTGGGAAAAATTCAATATGAGAGTGGAAAAAATGCAATTTCAAGGACATCCTTGCTCCCAATGCATGATAATTCTGAAGCATGGTTGTTACGATTTCTTTGTAGTTGTCAGCACGATAGTTTCCAAGAAAATTCTTTGACACATTGACAAATGATTCCCATGCTTTTTTCTCCAGTGGGTTCAATGTTTTGGTGAATTCGCTATCATTAACTAGTATACGAATTTGTGGTCCATTCAAGACACCTGCTTTCAACTTGGCTTCGGAAACCACACCACCTAGTTTCTGAGATAAGTATAGAGTCCCAGCACCGAATTGATCCATAGCTTTGATGAAATTTTTAGCCAAACCGAGCTTTAGATGCAGTGGAGGCAAAAATATCTTTTCTGGATCTACAAGCGGATTGTGAGCACAGTTAAACCTTCCAGGCGCATCTCTTGGTCTTGTCGGCCAATCCTTTCTCACATAGTGCTCTGCATCAGCTCTGCTGTTCCACAAGCACAAAAAGCACATGTGCTTTGTGTAGCCACTCTGAAGGCCCAGTAGTAAACTGATGACTTTGAGATCGCCACATATCTTCCACTGGTGTTTCTCATACTCTATAGCGGCCAACAGAATTTTCATTGTTTCATAGCTCTCAGTCATTTTTGTTGCGTGTGCTATTGGGACAGATGGAAGCCGATTGCCATTGTGTAAAAGAACAGCTTTCAGAGAGTCTTTTCCTGAGTCTATAAACAGCCTCCAATCCTCTGTCTTGTATGTTTCAGACTTGCAGAGTTGTTGCATGAGAGATACTGCGTCCTCGCAATAACAAAGGTTGTTTGCCATCTTGAAAAATGCAGACAGCTGTCTATGTCGGTAACGCGCTGTAGTGATATGCACTCCATCTTCTAGCAGGTTACGCTGCTTTAGTCTGGATCCCAAAACTTCAGCCTTTTCTTTTGACAAGTTTAGGTCCCTGATGAGATCATGAAGCGCTTCTTGAGTAAATAGTTTAGGCCTGGTATTTTCAGAGTCATCCTGGTAGTCGTTTTCCATTGAGGTAGAGGTAGAATCGGAATCACTCAATTCTTGTTCAGTCGGTGGATTTGGGACTGGAAGTTCAGCACTGTGCGGTACTGGTCGGATTGCAGAAGCAATATTGGGGTACTGTACCTTGCCTCGTGTCTTGATTTTTATTCCCTTAATATTTGTGAGACAGAAGTAGCAGTCACTACTGTGGTCTTTAGGTTCACGCCATACCATTGGTACAGCAAACGGCATTCCTGAACTTCGTTTACCACACATCCACTCGCTCAGGTGGTTAACACAAGACTTACAGGCTACATGAGGTGCCCATTTCTTGTCTTGGTCACCCAAATGACATTTGAAGTAACTTTTGTAGTTCAGTCGAACAGCTTTTGTGATTGGTTTCTTGAGGCTACCAGGAGTGAAGGCACCACATATGTAGCAAAAACTGTCAGCACCGTTCACACACTTGCGACGTTCCATGTTTTGTTAATTTCAGAGTAATTACAACTCATGCAGGTGTAGAAATGCAATATCATGAATCAGCAAACTGCAACAAACAAAAAAGCACAAATCAGGACAAAATAATTGCATAAGTGGAGCCAATGAGCATATAAATTACTGTATGAATAGCATGGTACACTAAATATATAGATATGCTGGTTCTGGAAAACTGAGCCTGATACAGCTATACGAATGTCATAATTGAGTTCAGCACATACAATTACACTAGAATCAGACTGTTTTGATCCAGAACCATAAGAATTTTTTTTTATGTTGACCAGTGTAGCAATAATAATAATAACAATAATACTGTAATAATAAAATAATAATAATAATAAATACAAGAATGAAAAAACATCATAAGTGAGAAACACGACCTAGACCTATGAATTATTATTATTATTATTATTATAATTATTATTATTATTATTATTATTATAATTATTATTATTATTATTATTATTATAATTATTATAATTATTATTATTATTATTATTATTATTATTATTATTATTATTATTGTATTTTAGCCCCCAGGCCTCAATATGGGTCAGTGACCTGTGCCCGGGTGGGCTGATCCCTGTAAAAAAAAAAAAAGAAATCTGAAATCCGAAAAATTCTGAAAACCGAAATGCATCTGGTCCCAAGGATTTCGGATAAGGGATTGTCAACCTGTATCATCTTTTGGTGCACCATTAGGGTTCATGCCCTCTGCATGATAAAACATTCTGTCCCCCCCAAAAAAAAAGTTTATAAATTTCTTCATGATAATTTTCTAGCTTAAAAGTAGTGATGAAAAGATAGAAACCAGTGACTTTTTTCCAGAAGGAAGCTGCAATAGGAGTGTAAAACCACCATATTGTTAGCTTTATGGTGTAACTTTGTTGAATGGGCATGATGAATGTGGATGACAATGGAAAAGTAATAAAAACTAATTTGAATCCTTACAAATCGTGTTAGATATATTTTTAATAAGAAGCATCAGCAAGTACTGGACTCACCATTTTGTTCTGTGTGTATGGTGCTATGTGTGTGGTGGTGCTGTGTGTATGGTGGTGCAGTGTGTATGGTGGTGTGGTGGTGCAGTGTGTATGGTGGTGCAGTGTGTATGGTGGTGCGGTGTGTATGGTGGTGCGGTGTGTATGGTGGTGCGGTGTGTATGGTGGTGCGGTGTGTATGGTGGTGCGGTGTGTATGGTGGTGCGGTGTGGTGTGTATGGTGGTGTGGTGTGTATGGTGGTGCGGTGTGTATGGTGGTGCGGTGTGTATGGTGGTGCGGTGTGTATGGTGGTGTGGTGTGTATGGTGGTGCTGTGTGTATGGTGGTGCTGTGTGTATGGTGGTGCAGTGTGCATGGTGGTGTGGTGTGCATGGTGGTGTGGTGTGTATGGTGGTGTGTGTGGTGCAGTGTGTATGGTGGTTTATTCTAGGAGATGGGCTGAGGTGCATCTGGGTAGACTCAGTCTTTTTAGTATTTTGTGTTTCTCTCAAGTACCAAACTAAATTATTCCATTAAAACAACACTTCAATTTAGTGCGAATTTCTTTTTAAAGCGACCTCTCTTGGAACGTATCTCATGTTATATCGACGTTCTACTGTAGCAGATGTGCCTCCCACATCATTGTGACCCTCAGCCACTAAGAGAGAAGTCTGAGGATTGGTGGCATAAGTTTGAGTCTGGGAGCTGAATTCAATACAGATACAAATGATTCTCAGGGCAGTGTCGAAGCGACAGTTCGCCGAGCATTGTATCGGGATAGAACCTGTGCATAGGAATCCCCATTCTTAAGATATATTTCATTACTGTACTCCTGATTTCAACAAAGCTCACTTTGTTTCTTGTGCAGATCTTTAGTATCTCTCTCTTTATTCGGAAACGGTCACGATCACTAGAAGTGGCCAGGTGCGGCTCACTACAGTGAAAACAGCAGACCGGCCCCGGACGTTTCTGACCCTCTTGGGCCTTACCACAATTAACCTTAAGGGAGGTCCAGGCAACCTTGTTAGAGGTTGGATTTCGAAGCAATCAAATGTCATTAACAGAGTTGGTGTAGGGTTAAGAATGACATTTTATTTCTGGCAGAACCTGTTTACTTTTGAACTTGGAGCTCTTTCAAAAGCTTCTCGTATCCTGTTTTGAGAATACCACCCCTCACCACTGGTTAAAGGTGGCATGCTGAGTACAGGAGACTGGCACCAGGTACCTCAGACAGGGTACAAAGTCGAGCTCTCTCCTCGGGGAAGGAGACCTCCACTAGGAGGCTACCATCTTGTTGAGTGGATTTTTGGGGTTTCTCCCACAAATTATTACTATTGACCTATGAACATCAAAAATGTTCAGGACCATTACAGGCTTGCCGTCCATGGTACGGAGCATTAGATATTTTATCAAATCTACCTGCTTGAGCACACCTGGTATGATCTCACGCATGGAAGAGTCATGGAGAGTTGCCAGGGCCATTAGGCCTTCTGCAGGTCTTATAATTGGGTATTTGTCGTGACCCAGAATCACTTGTCTCAATCCGATAGGTCCGCAGTG